GGGGGATTAGGTTTACCAACTAAAAGAGAACCCTGGGCCCACGCCCTTTCCGGGAAAAAGTGTCCCGCACCCTGTGATTTATCGATCGGGATTTCAAGAACAAGCGTTTCGCTCGAGACATCCTCAAATTTTAATTCGCCGGCCTCCTTCGACCTCGTTATTTATCAGGGAAAAAATTCGCCGGCCTCCCTCAAGTTGGCACCGGGGGATTAGGTTTACCAACTAAAAGAGAACCCTGGGCCCATGCCCTTTCCGGGAAAAATTCGCCGGCCTCCCTCAAGTTGGCACCGGGGGACAGGTTTACCTACTAAAAGAGAACCCTGGGCCCCCGCCCTTTCCGGGAAAAATAATAAACTGGTCAGACGGTGCCAGCGTTCCCGGGGCCGCTGGTCGCCCCGCGTTGTTAGGAGCTCGCGATACAGACGACCGTTATGATGGTAGGAAAAGGAGGGCGGAGGGAGAGGCGTTGAGCGGTGTGGAGCTCTGTCCGCTGAAAGGTAAAAGCAGGCTGTGCCAGCCAGCGCGTCTGGGGTTTGGCGGTTCACCCCAGTAACCTCCGAGCAAATGCCTCGACAGTCTTTGCAAACAAAGGCGTAAACACACTGTTGCGGGTCCGTCCCCCGATACTTATCGGCAATTTGTTTCGGCTCAGCACCGCAACCCACAGTTGCCAAGAGACGGTGGCGCTGCACAAGATAACAATTCGTGCCAGCGACGAGGGTCGTCAGGAGCAGGAAAAGGGGAGGAGATGAGATGATTAAAGCAGGAAGGAGGAAGCGAGGGGTGATCAAGACTGTGTACGCCAGCAGGACTGCATCGGGGCGGTGGCAGCGCTATTGTGCCGCGGGGTTCCCTCCGCCCCCCCCTTCACCTCGCCGTCCCCCAACATGCTATACCCAGAGCCCACGCGAGCAGGCGCGGCCGCCTCGGGGGCTGCGGTGCTTGGGGAGGTAGCCGGTCCCAGGCGGCGCGAAGGGCCTCTGGGGTGGCGCCATCACGCCTCGCCGCGTCGGCCTCGTAGGCGAAGAAGGCGGAGAGCTCGGTGATGGAAACCTCGATGTATGCGGCCTGCTCCTCTATCTCGAGGCTGGCCATGGCATCGCGACCGCCCAAGGCTGCGTCGGAAGGCGCGGCAGCCCGCGCGGCAGCCTCTGGAGCCCCCGCTGCGCTAGAGCCATGCCCAACGTCCAGGCGCCGTGCCTCCGCCTGGTCCTGCGTGGCATCGCGGCCTGCTTCGGCCGCCCGGCTCTGGCTGCCAGCTGCCTGGCCCACGTCGGCCTCGTCTGCCGAGTCGGCCGTGTGAGACCTCGCCCGTGCCTCAGCCAGCGCCTCTGCCGCCGTCGATCGCAACACGTCGGTGGATGGGTAGGCCACGCCAGGCGCTGGTTGCCTAGGCGGTTGGAGCGTCTCGGTCTGGCTGCTCTGCGGCTGTTCCTTGTCGAAGTCGTCTCGCAGGTTGGCCCGTGTGGGGTGCGCCCTCCCCGCCGCCTCCGCGGCGTTCTGGAGGTTGAAGGTGTCGTTGGAGCCGCTGGTCGTGTCGGCCCCTTTTGGGGGGACAAATCCCGCCGCCATCTCGGCGCGCTGATGCCCGAGGGCGTCGTCGGAGCCGTCGGGCAGGTCCGCCGCCTCTGTGCTCCTGTCGTAGCCGTCATAGTTGGCGGCGATCCCGAAGGTGTCGTTGGAGCCGTCCTTCTGGTCGGCCCCGTTTGGGGGGGGGCTGGCCCCGCCGCCTCCCGTGCGCTCTGGTGACTGTAGGTGTCGCTGGCGCCGTGGAGCGGGTCGCTGCAAGCTTGGTCGCAGCTGGTGGCCCCTTCGATGTCCATGGGTTTGCTGGCTTGGTGGCTGGATCGGTCGCCAGCCATGTCTTTGGCCCAACTTCCTGGTGGTCTCGGAGGTGTGTGCGACTTCTCGTTTGACGGTGGTGCGGGGCCTCCATCGGCGCCGCACCGAGGGGGAGCCCAGGTTGTTGTGCAAACTCCCCCAGCAGCGTGGTTGTCGCAGGGACCCGCACGGGCGCCTGCGACACGGTAGGCCGACGTCGCTTTGCACCCCCCCACCGGTGTTTTGCCCTGATGTTGGGCCGCCGCCAAAACATCCCCTCTCGGGCTGCAGCTGCCGTGGCGCCTGCGACGCTGTCTGTGGCCATGCCATTGAAGTAGGGCCCGTGGTGGAGGCGCCGATGCTCGTGATGACAGGAGGGAGGAGCAGCAGGCTTGGCTCGAAGGCAGGCGCTTCTTCCCGAAGAACTGACGCGGCCGTAGCTGGTGGCGCCTGTGGCGGTTCGGTGTCTGACTTGTCGACTTGGATGACGATGTACTCGAGGGCTGTGTTGGCGTTGCTTGCGGTGGCAGCCGAGACCATGAGCCGGTTCACGTCGCTGGACCGCGGCGGCTGTCCCTTCCTAGCAGCATACGCCAGCCGCCTTGCAGCGCTGCGAAGCGGTCTCGGCTGTCGCCAGCCGGTAAGAATTTCATCCATGTTGACGGTCAGGCCGACGCCCACGAAGGGTGGCAGGAGAGGTGAGAAGTGTGGGAATGGAAAGATGCGCCGAGAAATCGCGGGTTCGGAAACCGCGCTGGGCGCGGCCGCGGTGCCGACCTGTTCGACAAGGGGGGGACGGCCCGGTGCCCGACCTGTTCGAAACACGCGCCGCGCCTCCTTTTTTACGGGGGAAAGCCGGGTCCGCGGACCCCGTTCTTTATCGAGGATCCGAAATGGGGAGCGCACTTTCCTCGAGCGGGCGCGCGCGAAACGCCGAATTTTACTTCACTTCGTGTTTTATTGAACGGAAATCCGCCAGCCCCCTTCAAAATTTGCCCTGGGGGCAGGTTTTGCTACGAAAAGAGAACCCTGGGCTCCCGCCCTTTCCGGGAACAGCCTGTGATTCAGCACCCCGCGAGGGGGTCCTGAGGTCTTGCGGGGCCCGCCAGTCCGCCCGCCGCGCGGCCTGAACGACCAAGCCACGACAGGCCGCGCTCCGACGAGCCCGCCGCGTGGGTGTCCGTTTTTTTTCACATAGAAAGATCCAGCGAAACTACTTGCATGGAGGGGGAGGGGGGGGGCGTGGCGAGGCCGCAGCGCGAAAGCAGATCAGTATTTCACGCAAGTCGGGACCCGCTTGCACGCCGTCTCGGCCCGGTGCCGTTTGACAAAGTCGAGGAGAGAGGGGGGGGGTGCGCGGAATCTGCCATGCAAGTAAATTAGCAAGAATCTGCATGGAACCGGCTCCTGCAAGGGCCATCCGGCTCGCCCGCCGCGCGGCCTGCGGCGGCCCGCCCGCCGCGCGGCCCGGCCGGCCAGGCCGCGGCCAGGCCGCGGCAGGCCGTGCTCCGGCGGGCCAGCAGCGTGGGCAAGGCCGCGGCAGGCCCTGGTGGCAGGCCGCGGCGGGCTCGGCTCGCGCCTGCGGTGCGGGTGCGCCTCCCTCCGCGCCCCGACTCCGCAGGCCGCGCCACCGGAGGTGCCGGCTCCGCCGCCGCCGAGAGGAGGGGGCGGGGCGGGGTGCGCGCGGACGTCCCCAGCAGATGCGCCTTCCGCTCGCCGCCCTCTGGTGATGGTGGTGTGCTGATGACGGTGACGATAGTGACGACAGAGATGGTGGTGATGGTGAGGGTGGTGGTGATGATAATATTGGTGGTGATGGTGCTGATAGTGCTGCTGATGATGATGATGATGATGATGATGATGATGATGATGATGATGATGATGAGGATGAGGATGAGGATGAGGATGAGGATGAGGATGATGCTGATGATGATGATGGTGATGATGATGATGATGATGTTTATGATGATGATGATGATGATGATGATAGTGATGATGATGCTGATGATGATGATGATGATGATGCTGTTGATGATGCTGATGATGGTGATGGTGATGATGATCACGATGTATTAACTTGGCGAGTTATCATTACTCCCTGTGCCTCTGTTTCCGCCGATGATTGGCCGCAGTTTCTTCTTCTGGCAACTTGTCTTCCGAGCTCGGTTGTGCATGCAAGCGGCGTTCGGGTGGGTCTCGGGGGTGCTGGCAGAGCGCTTCTGGGGTAGCGGCAGTGAGACACAAACGACTTGCCACTGTGAGTTCTCTGGGCCTGAGTCTGGAGGCGGAGTCCTTGAGGTCCTCCGAGAACAGTTGCAGCGGTGCGGTCCCGAGCACCTGCAGGCGGTCGTTTGCCCGACGTGGCCTACTTGTCCCACCTGGCCCACGGTGAGCACATGGCAGCGGGACATCCCTCGCCGCCGCGGTGGATAGGTTCACGATCGGAGTGCTGTTGACCGTGTGCTGGCTCGTCGGCTCGTCGAAGGTACCGCCTGCCCAGACGCCCATCTCGGACGGGGGAGAGAATTTCGAAGTACCGCCCAAGACGCCCCAGCACTTGCGTGCGCAGAACTCTCTGACGCTCCATGGACACTGTCAGCTACGGGATGGCACTCAGACCTGGTGATGTTGTGCTAGTACGACGCGACGACGACCTCTGGCATGAGAGATCGGGTTTTAGTCCACGTGCAGGACAATGAGCTCATTGTGAGCTATCCTGACTGCGACGTTTTTGTCGAGCAGCTGGACTGTCAGAACCCCGACTTCACGGGCATCATATTCCTGGTGTAACCCTGGGCGCAGCGGTCCTGGAGTTCGGACAGATCTACGCCCTCGTACCCCGCCCGACGCCCGTGGAGCTGCATCAGCTCCTGTCTGAGGGCCAGCAGGCCGGGGCCGCCGAGCGGACGGCTCGGGGGCTCCCCGTGGGCGGCCGCGGCCGCGGCCGAGGCCGGGGCTGCTGGGGCCGTGCCCGCGGCCAACGTGCCAGCCGCAGCGGCCGCCGCGCCCGTGGGAGGCGCCGCCCCTGCCGCCATGCATGGTTGCCCTCGCGCCGGCGGTCGTCGCGGCGCCGGCGCCTGGGTGTTCACGTTGTGGGGCCTGGTGCGGCGGCGCCTGCGGCGGCGGCGCCGGCGGCGCCGGCGGCAGCGGCAGAGACTGCCCCCGCGGCAGCTCCTGCGATGCGCCGGATGGTCAGCGCCGGAGGCGCCATGAGCCACGAGGTTCAGGCCCTGGCAGGCGCCGCCGTGGACTCGCGCAGCTTCCTGGCCTTCAGCAGGGCGAGGTGCGCTGGCACTGACATCGACCGAGATGCGTCTGGCGCCGATCGCCGCCAGACGCATCTCGCGGTCGACAGGCGCACGATCGCGGTCAACCCGACAGGTCGCCCACGCCCCCTCGCCGCCTGTGCCGCCGAGATGGCCGAGGACCTCAGCGGGAATGTTCCCATGATCGACCCCAGGACTGTTCCCTCAAGCCGCACGATCGGTCGGCCTACGAGCACCAAGTCGTGGTCATCGCTCTGCAGATCGGGGCCACATGGACGGCCTGAGAGCCTCAGGAGTCAAGAGTTTAGGGATTGGCTGAGCTGCTGTTCCGACGCAAGCACTTGATCGACGAGGTGCACGGAGAGAATCCTCAGAGCCCGACTGGAATGGCTGGGAGTATTACCTCGGCATCGAAAAGCGTGAGGGTGGCACCGGCATGGCCCCCTCCCTGCGCCAGCACGTGGCCAGCGAGATGGGCAAGCAGGCCGCCATCGATCGATGAGGAGAAGGGCAAGACTCGTGATGCATGCAAAAGAGGCAGAACGTCCGCCCAAAGACGATTCTGCCACAGGCGAGTGATGACGCAGACACGCAGGGCTGGGGAACATGTAGTCTATGGCGGACCCCAGCCCTCTCGTATGCGCCAGACCTCTGTGACCGCTTCTCGTGTGTAACAGGATTTCGCGCGCCCATGCCGAGTGCCTGACGACCCCCAGCCGCCTCGAGCTGGCGACCTTTTCCCCATTCTGGGATGCTCCACCCGGACCTCCAGGGGTGTCGCGTGTCGCTGCTTATCGCGCAAATCATCGGCGAGCCGTTTAGATGGACTCCAATGCAGTTGTGGACGCGCTCAATGCCCTGCACGGCTGCGAGTCCAATCCGGGCTAGCACCATCAACGATACACAGGCGGTGGCTCTCAGGCGTACCCTTCGGACGATCTCCTCGGTAACCGAGGAGACCGAGGCTCGGTTTCATCATTTGTGCGTGTTTCTACGTCCGAGGAAGCTTCTCGTGAGCTTCGCGGGCATCGGCTTGACTACCACGGTGATGGCTTCGCAGTGGAGCCGTGCGACGGTTCGTAGGTCTCGCTGCCCGACGTCTCGTCGCTTCGGGTGCCTCTCGCTTCCACTGCTTCCCCACTCCATCCGTTCGATTGGTCCTTCCCCATAGATTTTCTCCCCCTTGCTATTATAGAAGACTTCCGCCACTCATCGATCGCTGGGCGAGTGTATTCGCGGGGGGCGAACATATCCGTATCCGCGCGGTCGCGGTCTGGATTCCGGGGCGCGATCCCGCGGATACGCGGTCGCACGGATACGTTCCGCGCGGTGCATCCGCGAACAAACGCCCCGTAGCCGTGGGATGCCGGCCCAGGGCCCTGCCCGCGAGGCCGCGGATACGGATATGTTTTTGGAGTATCAGATGTTGGTTTGATGCGAGTGCTTTCCTGCTCCAATCGAAGGACATTGCTCGGTTCCTCCCTCCTCCAGGGGGCGGGCGGGTGCCCAGTAGATTTGACCGACACGTAGGCCCCCAAATGTGCCATCCTCCCCCCACTTACCTCGAGCTCCCCGCGTCGACGGCAAGGCGGGTGCGGAGCAAAGACGGGACCGGATTCGATTGCAGTGTCGGGGTTCGTAGAGGGGAGGTTATCCAAAAATGGGGGTTGGGAACATACCCAGCTGGACAATCACATTGCCGTCTTTCACGGGCCGTGTTGAGTGATTTTCTGACCCCACCCCTGCCCGTACCCCATCTTACGCTCCCAGACACGGTTCCACAATTCGCTCTGGCACTTCCTGCATTTTGCCCCCCTTTCGTTTACGCTTCGCCTCTCCAACGACGACACATAATTATCTTCAACCCGCGTCTTCCACTTCGGTCATTCACGTGTGTTTTGTTTTTTCCTCGGACCTATAGGTCTATTCTTCGCCGATGCCAGCGGGCCGTATATCGAAGCAGAGCGTGTCGCACGTCTTTCCAGGAAGTACGCGATCAAGAATGATGTCTGAGGTCGAGCCGATTAAGCGATCAGCGAGTGATCCAAAGCTGGCGTGGATGTGGCCAGCTTGCGGGTCGGGGCGTCTGGCTGGATTCAAACATCTCATGTTGCCGCCTTGTTGAAAGCGTCGGATCTCTCACCCAGGGCGGAGGACGGGGGAGCTACCCGCCAAACGTGCACTTTCTCCCGAGCTCGGTGACGCAAGGGTGTCTGCATTGTCCAGAGAAGGACGGAACTCACTGTGTCCTTTGTCCTCACCCGCCGGGTTGGAGCAACGCTCGTGGACATGTCGCAGGGACTCCTTGGCCATTGTGTTGATGCTGAGCTACACTGTCAATGCCTCGCTGTCCTGGGGCTTTGCTGCGTTCTTGTTCGCTAAAGCGTTTGACACGTGTGTGGAGATACACTGTCAATGTCACTCTTTCCTGTGGCTTGGCTGCGTTCCTGCTCTGAACGCAAACCGCTTGAGGCGGCGGAGAGCTTGAGAGATCCGTCCAACAGATGGATACGGGGAACGGTTGGCGTCACCGATCCACTGCCGTCAGAGACGGCCTCCGAAAGGCACAGAAAGTCTCAGAGGATATGAACGGGGGACGCGCCTTGCTTGAGGCGACATCCGGCGGACGCCCACCCAGCCCGCACTCGCCGGAGCCCCGCCAGCAGCGACGGCAGGCTCAACGCGGCCCTGCTCTGCTCACCGTGCCGCAGCCGGAGGTCGCCTCAAGCAAGGCACGCCTTGCGATGACGAGGTGGCACGGACACTCGGTGGGGGCGGGTGGGACGGGGACAAGCACCGCGTGCACGTGGCCTTGACGTACGTGGCGGACCACGTGCGTCTGCCGCGCCTGTCTGTGGCGGCGCAGGGGATTCCTGGCGCGCTGGCCTTCCGCACCGTGGAAAAGTGTCTCGAGGGGAACTGTACAGAACGGACGGAAGCCTTCGCAGCGCCGACAGATCCGAAAGCGTGGCCTTTGCTGGCAGGCTTGCGGGCTGGCCGAGCGGGCACCCAGCAGAGTTAGGGCCATCTACCCAGGGATTTCGTCAAGCCAGGACGCTGGCGCACCCGAGAAGGTGCAGCCGTGGGTCGAAACATTCTCCATTATCCGTTCTCTTCAGGTCGAACTTTCAAAGTCCTGGTCGGCAGTCACCTGGGCGACGGAAGAAAATCTGCGCCGACATTCGCGCGGAAGCTGCCCGCGCATCGCGTAAGGTCGCGCGTAAGCGCCCTCGTCTCCAATGTAGCGTGCCGCGCTGGCGGCCCGCGTAAGCCACCGCGTAAGGTCGCCACGTCATTTCTTGCAAGACCCGCTTCTGATCGTCGCTCACCTGGCATGGGGGGCTCAGGTTTAGCCCATCCTCACGACCACGCCTTGCCCCGCGCCCGAAGCGCCGCTGCCGCGCGGGGACGGGGACGGCAGGCCCTCGCCGGGGCCCGGGCGCAAGAGGCGATGAGGCCCCAGCGCCGCCCGCATTGCGTGCACTCGACCGCGCGCGCGCGCGCGCTTCCCGCGGCCCGCCCACCAAGCCAGGGCGGGACGGGCCCCGTGGCGCTGTGTCGCAAGCTGGGCGGGCCGGTCGGAATGAGGGAGTAGGCCGTACAGGCGAGGGAGTACAGAAGAGAGAGAGAGAGAGAGAGAGAGAAAGACAGAACGAAGGAGGAGAAAGACAGAAAGAGAAAAGGAAAGATATAGGAAAGAGCGCGATCTGTGGGCGCTTGGGGGGGGTTGGAACCCGCCCCCCCCCTGGATTGAGGGGGGGGGGTTAAAACCCTCCCCTCTCCCGTGACGGAGGGGGGGGGCTCGAACCCCCCCCTTCCTCTCTCCCTCTCCTCGGGCCGGCGCCGGCGTCGGCGGCGGCTAGCGGCAGCGGGGAGCGTCGATGAAGACGACGGGCTCTCGGGGGCTTCTGAAGGGCATTTGTGAAGCCTCCTGGGCGCCTTTTGGGCGTCTTTTGCGGCCTCTCTGAGGTGGTGGTGGTGGTGGTGGTGGACTGTGGTGGTGGTGGTGGTGGGCTGTGGTGGTGGTGGTGGTGGTTGTGGCGGTGGTGGTGGTGGTGGTGATGGTGGTGGTGGTGGTGGTGGTGTGGAGGTGGTTGGTGGTGGTGGTGGTGGTGGTGGGTGGTGGTGGTGGGTGGTGGTTGTGGTGGCAGGTTGTGGTGGTGGTGGCGGTGGTGGTGGGTTGTGGTGGTGGTGTGGTGTTTTCTGGAGGCGGTGGTGGTAGGTGTGGTGGTGGTGGTGGGTGGTGGTGGTGGTGGAGGCGGTGGTGGTGTGGTGGTTTGTCGTGGTGGTTGCGGTGGTGGTAGTGGTTGTGGTGGTGGTGGATTTTGGTGGTGGTGGCGGTGGTGGTTGTGGTGGTGGTGGTGTGGTGCTTTGTTGTGGTGGTGGTGGTTGTGGTGGTTGGTGGTGGTGGTGGTGGTGTTGTGGTGGTCTGTGGTGGTAGTGGTGGTGGTTTGTGGTGGTGGTGGTGGGTTGCGGTGGTGGTGGTGGTGGTGGCTGAAGTGTGGTGGTTTGTGGTGGTGGCGGTGGTGGTGGCTGTGGTGGTCGTGGTTTTGGGTTGTGGAGGTGTCGCTGGTGGTGGTGGAGGTGGCGGTGGTGGTGGTGGGTGTGGTGGTGGTGGGTGTGGTGGTTTGTGGTGGTGGTGGTGGTGGTGATGGTGGTGGTGGTAGGTTGTTCTGGTGGTGAGGTGGTGGTCGTGGTGGTGGTGGTGGGCGGTGCTGGTGTGGAGGTTTGCGGTGGTTGTGGTGGTGGTGGCTGTGTCGTGGTTTGTGGTGGTGGTGGTGTGGTGGTGGTGTGGTGGTTTGTGGTGGTGGTGGTGACAGTGGTTGTGGCGGTCGTGGTGGTGGTGGTGTGGTAGATTGTGGTGGTGGTGGTGGTGGTGGTGGTTTGTTGTGGCTGTGGTGATGGCTTGTTGTGGTAGTGGCTGTGGTGGTGGTGGCTGTGGTGGTGGTGATGGTGTGGTTTGTGGTGGTGGTGGTGGTGGCTTGAGGTGGTGGTGGTGGTGGTGGTGGTGGCGTGGTGGTTTGTGTTGGTGGCGCTGGTGGCGGTGGTGTTGGTGGGGGTGGTGGTGGTGGTGGTGGTGGCGGCAGTAGTGGTGATGGGTGGTGGGTGGTGGTGGTGTTTGTAGTGGTTTGAGGTGGCTGTGGTGGTTTGAGGTGGTGGTGGTGTGGTGGTTTGTGGTGGTCGTGGGGGGTTTTGGTGGTAGCGGTGGTGGTGGCGGTGGTGGTGATGGTGGTGGGGGTGTGGTGGTTTGTGGTGGTGGTGGTGGTTGTGGGTTGTGGTGGGTTCTGGTGGTGGTGGCGTTTTTGTTAGTGGCTGTGTAGTGTTGGTAACGGTGGTGGTTGTGGTGGTGGTGGGTTGTGGTGGTTGTGGTTGTGGTGGTGGTGGCGGTGGTGGTGGTGGGTGTGGTGGTTTGTGGTGGTGGTGTTGGTGGTGTGGCCTTCGGGACGTCCCGTCACCCTGTTTTGGCTTCGAGTCAAAGTTCTAATGGATGCGTCGTGGGGTCTCGTCAGAGGGTTTTCGGGGGCGTCTGAGGAGCATCTGTGAAGCCTCCTGGACCTTGCTAAGGGCCTCTCGGTGGCTTTTGGTGGGCGAGGGCGCGATATGGCGATGTGTGCTTCCCATTTTGGCCTCTTGGCCTTCTCTGGTCATCGTCGCTGCGTCCCCGCCGTCGGCGCTGCTGGCCGCCGCCAGCGCCAGCTCTGGCGCCGGCGCCACGGGGGGCTGGGTTTGGAATCCCCCCCCCTCCCCTCGCTGAGCCCTCTCTGGTCATCATTGCCGCGTCCCCGCCGTCGGCGCTGCTGGCCGCCGCCAGCGCCGGCGCCGGCGCCGGCTCCGGGTGGTGGGGGGGGGTGGGGAGGGGGGGGGGTTAACCAGGTTAGGGGGCAGGGGAGTCCTCCTGGTTTTGATCGACGGCGCCGAGTGTTGGGGGGGCCGAGTGTTGGGGGGGGGGGGGGGGGGGTTAACCAGGTTAGGGGGCAGGGGAGTCCTCCTGGTTTTGATCGACGGCGCCGAGTGTTGGGGGGGCCCCCCCCCGGTTCGAAACGCCCCGCCGAATGTTCCCAAGGCAAGCGCCCATGAAACGCGCTCTTGCATATACATATATATATATATAATATATATATATACATATATATATATATAGATGGAGGAATATTTCAAGAAGAGAGTATGTAGATGTGTTAGGTGATGTCGCATAGTCAGGCGGTCAGGCAAGTCATGGAAACATGTATATCCCAACATGCATACAGACATACATACGTGCATGCATACATACACATAAATACTTACATCTATATATATATATACATACATACATACATACAGACATACAGACATACAGACATACAGACATACAGACATACATACATACAGACATACATACATACAGACATACATACATACAGACATACAGACATACAGACATACAGACATACATACATACATACACACATTCATATAGATGTTCATGGAGGGACGGGTACACAAATATACACATATATATATACACAGTCACACACACATATATATATATATATACGTATGAGAAAGGGAGAGAGAGAGAGAGAGAGAGAGAGAGAACGACAAAGACATACATCCAGGGGTACCCCCCAATGCGTATGGGATCGGGCCCCCCCCGCCCACCGCTGGAAGGATACGCTGGAAGGATACGTCCGTGAGCCTCGCGAAGGCCTCGCGAATGGAATCGTTCTCCCCCACCCCCGCCTGTGGTCGTGGCCCTGTGGGCATGGCGTGGTGGAGGGTGCCGGTGTACCCCTCCCTTCCCCTTGTGGGTGTGGGGTGGTTCGTCGTCGTCGTCGTCTTCGTCGTCGTCGGCGTCGTCCGTTGGCGTCGGCGTTGGCGTCGGCGTTGGCGTCGGCGTCGGCATCGGCGTCGGCGTCGGCATCGGTGTCGGCGTCGGCGTCGGCGTCGGCGTCGGTGTCGGCGTCTTTTTCGTCGTTGTCCGTTGTCCGTCGGCATCGGCGTTGGCGTCGGCGTCGGCGTCGGCGTCAGCGTCGTCCTCGTCGACGTCGTCGTCGTCTTTGGTCGGCGTCGGCGTCGTCGTGTCCCCTTCACATCCCATCTGGGGGTGTGGGGTAAGCCTGTGAGATACTGGGACCCATCCAATCTGGAGGGGGGTCTGTGCACCCTCGACCTGGCTCCCACTGTTTCTGCATTGATATTCAATGCGTGTACATGTATACGTATGCACACCCACCGATACAGAGAAAGAGGGAGAGAAAGAGAGAGAGACATGGAGAGGACGGGCAGGCGTGGAGTGCGCGCGAGAACTGCAGGCAATCAACTGGTTGTGTGTTTGCACGTTTGTGTAATACTGCACATGTGTTGAATCTCTCTGTTAGTGTGCTATCGAACATTGGGAGCCCATTGATACATGCGTGGCTTCCTATTTCACAACTCCGCTACGCCGTAAACGCTATGACCGAGGGGCCCCCAATTTAGTCGGTGGTCGAATGGTCAACATGACCTAGAACTTTTCGCAGTTGAAGTCCGTGGTTAACAATGGCCTAACAAAACGACGTGTGTCACGTGTCATCTGAATGGGTTGAGTCCGTCCATCGATTCAATGTATGGCAGCACTCCCCCGTCACTCGAACGGTCGGTCCGTTCGAGGGGTGGGGTAGAAGGAAAGGCTACAGTGACTGGGGAATTCCGTTGTTGCATGGCTCAAATGTTATAAGCCGCCGACGGGCAGCGAGCATCGCATCTGTACCCTTCGGTGCTATCGTCCTGCGCATAGAGGCTTCTGTCAAGTCTGCAAGGGAAATGAGTGATGAGGAGAACATGGAGGCGGAAGGGGAGACGAAGGAGATATAGGGTGATGGGGGAGGATAGAGGACGAATGGTAGGACGATGTGGAGACGGTGTGATGGCCGGGGGTAAAGTGAGGAGGGGAGGAGTGAGGGCCGAGGGTAAGGAAGGAGGTGCAGCGCCCGTCCCCAGGTTCCATCATTGGCTCGTCCCGTCTGGCTCCAGAGGTTCGCTCGCGAGGGCGCGCACGCGCGCGTGCGGGGCGGCTTTGCCGCGGCCCGCGTGATGGCGGCAGGGTACCCGCCGGGTGCAGCCCCAGCGGAGCAGGTCGGAGTCCCGGCCCGCGCGCGGCATCCTGGGGGCTCTCCCGTGCGCAAGCAGCTCGGCCATGCCTTGCTCTCCTCTCGCTCTGCGCCTGACTCCTGCCACTATTGCTGATCCTTCTCTTGGTCCTGCTCCTCCTGTTACTTGATCTTTCCTGCGTCGCTGCTCCTCGACTCGTTTTCTTCCTGCTGCTCATCTTTCTCCTTGTTGTGCTGCCGCTGCTGGTTGCTCTTCCAGCCTCTGCCTCCGCTCTCCCTCTTAGTTCTCGACGCTTGTTGCATGTGTTTCGCGCGGCACGGTAATTCTATCGATGATTCCCGAGGCCACGGCCTCCTCCACCCGGCCTGAAATAGGCCTGGGCGGCTGTCCGCACCGGCGGTCGCTCGCTCGCTCGTTGATCTCCCCCCACCGCTGGGCTCCTCGGATGAAGCCTTGCCTGGAGGGCGGGGGTAGAGACCAAGAGCTCCCCCTCGGAGCCAGCTCCCTCGGGCGCCGACCCAGGTTCTGAGGGGCACCCGGGCCACGATCCAGGGACTCTGGGCCGTCGGCGGAAGGCGTCGGAAGTATAAGCGAGCCCTCAACATGTTTGCATCTAGGGCTCCGGGAATCGGCGATGAGGGGATCACAAGGGGGGCCCTGTTGCACCGACTCGGGCCCGAGGAATCCAGCTCGAGGAATCCAACGTGAAGGTGGTATCGAGAGCTCCAGTCGAGATGTTCACTGCGTCGTGGTCTTTTCAAGACGTCGAGACACATGTCGTTGGGTATGGCGGCTGGGGGCATTAGATATCGGCACCCATGACACAATGGCAGGGGTCGTATGGGAGGTCTGTGGCTTTGGTATGTTGTTTGCCAGGGACACTGATTATTGCAGACTCGTGGCATTGGAAAATGGACCGGTGGCTTTGGGTTAGGAGGGCCCGTGGCCCGTGGCATTGGGTCTGCTTGGCGTCGGCCATGTGGGGCCGTGGCTTTGGGTACGGGGTTATGCAGCACTGGGTATGGGAGCCCGCGAAGCCTTTGGCACGAGGGGTCATAGCATTGGGTATGATGGCCCGTAGCATTACGAATGGCGGCCCACATCGGGTCCAGGGTTGAGAATCAGATTGAGAAGACAAGTACAACATGTATACAGAGTCCTCGGCGCGGTCATTCCCACATCCGCCGCCTCCTGCTCCACCTCTGCTTTGGCTGTTTGACCTCTTGGAGACCCAGTATCTGTTCAACGCAACCATCACTCAGTTTCCGCGTAGAAGATCGCTGGAGACCGCGCCGAGGACCGCTGGATAGCGCCATAGACCGCCGAATAGCGCCGAAGATCGGCAAATATCGCCTTAGGCCGATGGACGGGGTGGCCATTCAGCACCGACGCAGAGGGAGTGGGCACCGAAGACCGCCACAGGCCGATGGGCAGCAAGGGGGGCCCATCTCGGCGTCGGCGCAGGGGGCACGGGAATGGGCATGGCTCGCGCGGCCCGAGGCCGCAGGGACGCCGTTGGCGTTTGCCCCCCTGGAGCCGGCCCCGGACGTGGGCTTCTGGCGGGAGCTAACCAGGCCGGGTGGCAGTTGGAGGGGGGAGAGGAGGAGGATAGAGTTCCGAAGATCGATGACCGCCGTTGATTATGGAACCCATTCAGTTTTAGCAGCACTCCTGTGTTTGTTTGGTCCGCGCTTTGAATGCGCAGTGCCGCGCGTATCTTCCATTCTCTTCCTCGGTGCCTGAGTTTCCCGCATGTCGATGTCGGCATCCCTCTCACGAAATCGTGCCCCACTGGGAGCTTCACCTACGGCCCTAGCGGGGGCGTCGCTGTTGGGTCTCCGCCCTTATTTCGGCGCACCCTTTTGTGGATCGTGCCCCGCAGGAAGCTCCACATAAGGCCAAAGTGCGGGCGTTGATATAGCGTATCCGCACCCATTTCGGCACACCCATCACGCGGATCGTGCCCCGCATGGCCACCGCGCATTCAAATAGCATCCAACTATTCCGCGTTTGAATCCAGCTGCGCATCCTGAAGAGAGTCGGGATGAGGAGGATTAAGATGACGAGGACGAAGAGGACCGCCTTCACGGAGGTTTCGCTCCGCGAGCCTTTGACGTTTATTGGAGGTCTCTTTGAAGGCCTCTTGGAGCCATCTCGGCATCATTTTGCAAGCCTTTCGGGCCGTCTTGGGATCCACTTGGGGCTCTTTGTGGGTGTCTTAGCGCATCTTGGAACCCTATGGCTCAAACAAGAGAAATGCTTGAATTGGCGGCCCCCCTTCTGAGGCCGAGACATTTGCTCTTGGGGCCTTCTGGAAGACGCTCTTGGGGCGCTCTTGTGCGCTCTTGGGGCCCGTCTCGAAGACGTCTTGGGCCATCCTGAGGCAATATTGAGGCCTCAGCGGCCCGTCGGAAGCGAAAGGGCCAGGCGGCACAAATCATTGATTAGTCGTAGGTGTTGGAAGGATTTTGGCCTCTTGGGGGCTGCCTCGGAAGTCTCGGAGGGCACTTGGAATTGGCTCACGGCTGGATTGGGGTATCTACGAGGTATGTCGGAAGCTACCTTGAGTCAGATTCAAATCTCTTGGGCAATGTTGGATGCCATCTTGGGCTATCTTGGGCCCTTTCCAGCCATCTTGGGCCATCGTGGACGTTCCAACGGGTCGCAGCCCCTACCCCGTCCAGACCCAGGGGGGAGTGGGGAGGGGGAGGGGCAGCCCCCTCCCCGATTGCAGGACAGATATTTTTGTTGGAAGAAGGGAGAAAAGAACTCGTGATACCACCTCCGTCCAGAGCGCTGGAACAGGTCTGCGGAACGCTGGCTGCCGATCGCTCGGCCAAGGTCACTTAGCCTCGAATGGCCTGGACATTTGGGGGGTCCACATGCGTCCACCCGACCCATTTCGGCACACACCTCTCACACGTTCCATGGCCCCACAGGGAGTTCCACCGAAGGCCCCAGTGGGATGGTCCACCTGCGTCCACCCGACCCATTTCGGCACACACCTCTCACACGTTCCATGGCCCCACAGGGAGTTCCACCGAAGGCCCCAGTGGGATGGTCCACCTGCTTCCGCCCGACCCATTTCGGCACACACCTCTCACACGTTCCATGGCCCCACAGGGAGTTCCACCGAAGGCCCCAGTGGGATGGTCCACCTGCTTCCGCCCGACCCATTTCGGCACACACCTCTCACACGTTCCATGGCCCCACAGGGAGTTCCACCGAAGGCCCCAGTGATTGATTGGATTTGCATGCGTCCGCCGACTTATTTCGGCACACACACACACACCTCACACATGTCGTGGCCCCATCGGGAGCTCCACCGAAGATAATTCTCACATCTGCGTTCATACACATTCATATGGTTGGGTCTTTCGCCAGGATCATGTTTGCCTCCCGCGGCCTCCAGAGACCTGCGGTCAGGAACTTCTGCTCAGCGTGTCGCTCCGCTGGGTGCGGCCCACCACGCGTCAGCGCGACTCGTTGACCACGTCCCAGTCTCCGAGCGTCAATGTCCCGAGCTTTCCCCAGCCTCCCGCCCCGCGGAGCGGAGCGACACGCTATCAGCTCGAAGAGCATAGCGTGTCGCTGGGGCCGCCGCCGCAACACGCCAAGCAGAGGTTTCTGGTCTTATGGGGACCCACTGACTCACCACGCCCTTGACGCTGAGCAGGCGCCGTGCGCCGCTGCGAGCCCTCACAACCAGGCGCCGTGACTTCAAAGCAGCACGGGCTTGTGTCTGACCCGTTCTGGACCGCTTTGGGATCTTCGGGGGTCAGTCCGGCTGAAAACATTCCACATGAGGATGGCGTCAAGATTTCCAGCTGTGTTTTTTTGTTCGACGCGCTTTTTTACCACAGCGTTGGCTTGGGGGGGTGGAGGACCATCTCGATCGAGCTATATGCCGCTATGTGCGGCGTGTCTCAGGGTAGGCTGACCCTTGGAGCCGGCTGACATCGGATGCCAGAGCCTGACTTCTTTGTCTGCTGGTGCCCTGGACCACCTGGAACAGCTGCAGCGGTGGTGGGAATCAGTCGGGGAGAGGACGGGCAAGCAGGAGCAAGAAAAGGATGAACAGGGGAGGCAGGAAATTGAAGAGGTGGACGATCGAGAGCAAGAGGAGGAGAGCAGAGAAGGAGGAGGAGGCGGAGATCAGCGGGAGCGAGAGAAGGACGATCAGGAGGAGTAGCGGGAGGAGGAGACGAGACTCGGGGAGGAGCAGGGTTCTCCTCCTCGTCCTCGGTCTGCCTCATTTTTCAGTCCTATGCCTCTCCGGTTGCACGCTCCCGGCAGCAAGCTCAGGGACCTCACCCTTGCTTGATTGAGATGCGTTGCAACGGATGTTCTTTTACGTGAGAACAGAAACCTTGAAACGGACGGCGATGCGGCAGGAGGAGGGGGAGCCGTCTGCGTTTTTCCCATCCGTGACTCTGCTCCCAACGCGCGCACGCTCCACATGCACGTGCTCACGTGCTCAGGGGTCGCGCAGGGCAGAGAAGGAGGAGGAGGAGGAGGAGTATGAGGAGGAGGAGGAGGAGGAGGAGGAGGAGGAGGAGGGAGGAGGGAGGAGGAGGAGGAGCACGAAGGAGCAGGCGGGGCACAGCCGTAGTCCACAGCGACGCCCCCCCCCCTCCTCGGGGGCCTGAGGAGCAGGAGGACGAGCAGAAGGAGACGCAGTGACATCAGCCATCGATTTGGACTGCGTGCTTGATCAAGGCCTGAGGGTCCCTGGGTCAAAACGGAAACAGAGGAAGAGCTAGAGGGGAAGACAGGCTGAGGGACCCTCTCCCGTGCGCTCTCTCATCCCCCGTGCTGCGCAGGCGAAAATTGGACGTGTTGCGCCTGGACGACTCGCCAATCCCAGGAGCCGGCGGGGTGCTTTGGGCCCGCAAGTGTAGGTGTTTTGACTTGGTCAGATTCGAGTCAGGGCATCTGACGAAGCTAGGCAAAAACGCTGCAGCTGGACTCGGTCAGCTAGAGTCATGTCGGGCCAAACCATGTACGCGAATCTGGGTATACCTCAGATAGCTCAGGCTGCGCAGGAGGGTAACGCTAAAATTGGGTTGTGATCGACCAACTCAAGTTTATATGAGCTGACATGGCATGAGCGTAGCGATTGCGTAATGCACTAAGCCATAGGTGCGGTTGAACACAAGCACGATGAGCCAATGTGTATATTAGGAAAATCTGAGGCAGTCCCAGACAAGCGAATCGCACGATATGCCAACGCTTCCCAGCACAGACCAGGACTAATTGTCCAGAGCCGGGGCCAGGTGCAGTGTTTCTCTTAGTACGGGTTGGTCTTGCATGTCAATCTGCACCGAGCATACATCACAGCCATTTCGAATCACATGGCTGCAGCTAAACCGACCATCACTTATAACATTGAAGCAACTATTGGCTACGACAAGTTCAGACACACATAAAGTAAGCGAAGCTAGGCTAATAGAGACAACGCGAATGCGTGTTAATACAGTATGCTCGTGGGTGTAGTGATTTTGGGTGCACCAGAAACTATTGACAATACGCTCAAGCAGGAAGCTGATACTGATGACGATTACCATGCGGAAGATGTCGATAACGGGGGAGGATGACTACAATAGAGCGAGACGCGTGACGGATATGATAACGATGACGGGAGAAGGTTCAGGGGGATAACGTTGATGAGTAGGATGGGGAAGCCATTGGAGAATGAGGAGGGCGAGTATGTTCAGGGCGACAAGGAAGAAGAGGAAGGCGGAAGAGTAAGTGGATCAGGATCTTGAGGATGAGTATCGGCAGGAGTGGAGGAGGAGAGGGAATGACGATGAAGAGGTGAAGGATGACGCGTCGTGGGAGGAAGAGGAAGAGGAGGAGGAGGAGGAAGAGGAGGAGGAGGAGGAGGAGGAGGAGGAGGAGGTGCAGCAGCAGGAAGGTTGGGGCGGAGAGGGAGGAACTCCGAGAGGAGGAGGAGCAGGAAGAATGTGTGAAAGATGTGCTGCACAGTGCGACGAGGCACGCTCCCCCCCCCCGCCCCGCACCCGGCGCTGCCAGTCTGTGGGGCGTACGAGGCCTTCGGCGAGCGCCCCAAGTGCCTCCTGCTAGAGGAGCCCCGGAGGCCGCCCGGCGGATGTCGGCGGATCGCCCGAGGAGAGGGGCCACGGGGCCCCTCGACGCCCCGGGAGCACTTGGCGCCCCGAGAGAGCAGCACCGTCGCTTGGATGTTTGGGAGGCTGGGCCTTCGCGGGCCCGTGGCGGGCGCCAGGGCCAACCAGAGGCAACCCGCGGCACGAGCGCTCGAACGGGCTCCTGGGGCCGAGGGCTCCAGGGCCCACGTCGTGAAAGATGTGCGCGGTGTCGACGGCCGTGGGAGGTTTGCGAGAGAGAGAGAGGGAGAAACAAGCATAAGAAAGAAAGACAGAAAGGCAGAGAGAGAGGGAGAGACAGCGAGAGAAAGAGAGAGAGAGAGAGACAGAGACAGTGCGAGAGCGAGAGAGAAAGAAAGAGAGAGAGAGAGAGAGCGATAGAGAGAGAGAGAGAGAGAAATGAAGAGAGACACAGAGAGAGAGAGAGAGATTGAAAGCGCATCAGCACAAACAACTAAATACACACAGAACAAGAAAAGAGAGAGAGAGAGGGCAATCTGGTATAATATACAAGTGTATACAAATAGAAAAAGAGGGAGAGAGAGAGTCAGACAGACAGACAGACAGACAGACAGACAGACAGACAGACAGACAGGCAGACAGACAGACAGACAGACAGAGACAGACAGTCAGACAGACAGACCGACCGACAGAAGAGAGAGAGAGAGAGAGAGAGAGCCAGAGAAAGAAAGGGACACCGAGCGAGAAGGAGAAAGAGAGAGAGAACCAACAAAAAAAGGGATGGCGCTGATGCGGACAGTGTCTGTCTGGGCGCCTCGCGGCAAGCCGCGGGTGAATCGAGCCGTATGGCCACTGGCGGACGGCAAGCAGAGGACGACCCCTGGCGCGGTCCAGGGCACGCGACAGAGGGCATGGAACGGGGTATCCCCGAGCGGCGCGGGAGCGCCCATTGCAGAAGTGGCGGCCGAGGGACGGTGGTGCCTTGGCGGGGCGTCTCTCCCCAGGCGTTTCGGTGAGCCCCCCCCCGGGGACGGTACCCCGAGCGGGAGAGGGTCGGCGTGGCGAAGCGAGCCCGGCAGCGCTCCCGTGGGTGTGCCAGGAAGAAGGGTGAAGGGAGGCAGTGCAACGACCGTATCTCCAGTCAGGCCAGGTGGGGGGCTGGGTGTGGATGATTTCCGTGGGCGCGGAAGTCATAAATTCGGTTGCTCTGAAGTTGAGGGTGAAACGCCGCAGTAGGCCCGTGGCAGAGCTGGGATGCACGTGGGCCGGAGCAGGGCTCGGCTTTCCGCCGCTCGCGCGAGCGTGGGCTGCGAGGAGCTGCTGGAGGGTGGCCTGGAGGTCGGCCTGCCGTTGCATCTCTCCACGGGGGGAGGAGTGTGCACTGGCGAGGGCGACGTTGGCAGCATCGACGTGGGCGGTCTCGTCGCTTTGGCGGTGCAGATGGTGGAGGTGCGCGAGAGCCGAGATTGGGGTGGGCTGCTGCGTAACTGGTGTCGAGGCTTGGCGTTTGGACAGCCGTCACGGATGGGCCAGTGGCAACGGGGGCGAGGTGTGGGAAGCCGAGCGGGTCGGATTCGTGGGTCGAACGACGTTGGCGGCACCGCTGTCAGTGGCTTGGCACCACGTTCCGCTCGGTTCGGCGGTGAGGGCGCGGACCGGAGGTTCGTGGTGACCCTCCTGTAGGGACGGGTGCACGCTCGCTGGTTGCCTGTTGAGGCCGCACGACGGGCAGGACACTGGCGTCGCTGTCATGTGGTGGGCAGTGGAGGCCTCCTCGCGGAGGGTCCCGAGTACGTTATTCTGGTTGTTGGCCCATGGATTCACCAAGGCCGAACGGGTCGTGCTAGTCGTCAGTATCAAGGTGGCCGTGATCGCTGGCGACCTTTGCTGGATTGTTGATGCAGGGAGGGGTCTCTGGCGTAGGCCGCGGCGTGACTAATATCTAGTGTCGCGGCGGGGTGTGTTGACAACCGTTGCTGCGAGACTGGTGGCGACCAGGGAGAGACACCGGAATCCGAAGGGTTGTGATTCGTGGGCGACCCAAGGCATGGCGTTGGTAGCACCTCCATCCCGGTCGGGGCGCCCCGCTCCGTTCGGGCTTGCGGTAGGGACAATGGCCAGAGGATCATGGTGACCCTCCAGAATAGGTGGGTGCGAACTCGTTGGTTGCCTTGTGGAGTCTGCACGACGGACGGGACTGGCGTCGCTGTCCAGCAGCTGGCAGGCCTCTTCGCGGAGGGTCCTGAGTACGTCAGCCAGGGTGTTGGCCCATGGACCTGCCGATGCCCAGGGGGTCCTGATCGTCGTTGTTGTCAGCTACCCTTGGGAGAGTGCTGCTGAAAATCGGACGGTGGTAGAAGGAGCGAGCGTAATGCTCGAGGCATCCGTCGGGACCAGGGGATGGTTCTTCGGCCCCACGGTGCCTATTCCGGTGCTCAGTAGTGGTGGTGGTTGATCGTCGTCGTGTGGGTCGAGGGAACCCCCGAGGCCGAATGGGTCGTGGTGGGTGACTTGGTCAAGGAAGTCTTTTGCCCAGGCCTCTTCGAGGGCGGCCAGCTGGAGAGCGACGGCCAGGTCGTCGTCACCGTCAGAGAGAGCGAGAGGGAGAGAGAACTTCGTACAGAGAGAGCGAGAGAGAGAAAGAGGGAGAGAGAGAGAGAGGGAAAGAGAAAGAGAAAGAGAGAGAGAGAGAGAGAAAGAAAGAAAGAAAGAAAACAAAGAAAGAAAGAAGGAGAGATGGAGAGGGGGAAAGATAGAGAGAGAGAGAGAGAAAGAGGCACAGGCACAGCAGCCACACTTTCGTCGTGGCTCTGGGCGGAAGGGGCGGCGAGGAGCTGTAGGAGGGGGGCCTCGCAGTTAGCTCGGCCGCGCCCTGCTCGTTATGCCCCCCCCCCCCTTCCCGCGTACCACCGCAGCAGCCTCCGAGAACGACTCAGAGCTTTCAGGCGGGGGTGCCGCGGGCTCCATCGTGCAGAGCTTTCCTCTCTGGCGGCGTCCTGGGGCCGCCTAGACTTGGGCGCGTGGCTAGGCAACCACCGAAGACATGAACAGGAACTTCCGGACGCCCACGTGGTTTCTGAGCCCGCGCCAGACCCCCACCCCATGCCCTCTCACGATCCGTGGAGAAAAAGTCGGCCCTCGCTCTTGGGCCCCCCTCACCGCCATCCCCTACCTAGATGGCTGGCAGATGGAGACCGCAAAGAACCGTGGATTTCTGGTACGACTTGGCATGGCCTGTCGGCCCCCTCGATTCATCGCCTTCCGCCGCAGTCGGGCACGGGCGTTGGACCCCTGCCCCCCCCGCCTCCTGCCCCTCGGCAGTTTGCGACGAGGCAGGAAGTCGCAGGGCAGCCTCTCCAGGAGGCCAGGGGACTGCCAGAGCCTGCCCCCCTCGCGAGCTTCGATGCTCTGCCTGTTTGCCTCCGGAGGGGTGGGGCCTCCTCAGAGGGAGGAGGGAGGCGGTCACAGGAGGAGCTGGGCGCTCGATGATCAGCCCCCGCGGTCACGCGGAAGACCGCCAGAGACCACCCCGAAGGCCGACGGGCAACCGGCAGTGGGCACCACGGTCGCACACAGAGCAGGCGAGAGGCAGGAGCAGGAGGACCCCGCAGGCCGGGTCTCGGCCGCCTGCTCCGCCAGCGCCAGGACTCCTTCAGCTCGGCGCCCGCGTTCGAGGGGAAGGCTCTGGTGCGGGGCGACCTGAAGAACTTCAACACGCAGGAGCGGCCGGGGATGCGCCTAACCGTCAGGCGTCACGAACAGAACATCGGCACGGCCTTCTTAAAACAATTGGCCTGCATGAGGGCCGCTTCAGGCCTCGGAACAATCTGAACACGGCATGGGGCTAAGAAGCAGCCCTTGGGGTGAGATAGTTACCACCCTGGAACGTATCCCTGTCCCTACGATTGGCATCGCCTCATCTCGATGCCGATCTTGAGGGCTCAGTTTCTGAGGGCGCATCCCTAAGACTGTCATTGCCTTTTGGCTTGTCTGTCTAAGGGATAGGGATAGGCTCGAGGCTGGTTAGATGGATAGCTCTGGGGCCCACGTCACGAGCAAGCCATGACGTCGGAGGTGGGGGGGGGGGCAGGGGTGGAGCCTCGTGCTTCTCTTCTGTGCGGCGAGCAAACGGGGCTAGGGCCAGAGCGAGGACGGACCTTTTGGAGGCCGCTGAAGGCCGGTGGAGACCGCCAAGGACCCCCCCAGAACGCCGAATGTCAAAGGGCGGCCAAGTGGACAATGATGGAACACGTAAGCAAGGCGGCCTGGCGTAACCCCAATTCTTGGCAACGCCGAGCGGTGTGCCTTCTCAGTGTCCGTCGTTATGCTCGAGCATGGGCGTGCCAGATGGGTATCGCATCTTCGGTCACGCCATTTGCGCCAATTCAGGCTGTGCTGGTTGTTTTTCTTTTCTCCTCCTCCTCCTCCTCCTCCTCCTCCTCCTCCTCCTCCTGCTATTGCTCCTGACCTTGCTCCTCTCGCTGCCTCCCTTCCGAATCCTCCGCTCAACCCTCCTCTTTCCCCTGTCCTTTTCCTCTCCGCGCAGGACACCCTAGGACTTTCCAGAATCCATCCGAACCTCCGAGGCCCTGTAGGAGGTCGTACATGTACGACCTCCTGAGATCTTCTGAGAATCTCCCCTCCTGCTTCCACCCCTCACCGCTCCCTTCCCCAATTGCGCATGCCACGATGGGGTCCGTTCTGGGACTCCAGGTCCGCAGTGGCACGCGTCCGCGGGTACAGACAACATCAGCGCCATGGGACGGGATGTGTGTGAGGGGTAGGACGCCAGACATGGCGCGAGCGCGCCTCGCTCGCCCCCCCCACCCTCGGCCCCTCTGGCAGGAGGACTTCCGCGCCTTCCTGAGTGGCGGCGCGCGCGGGGAGCGGATCGTGGAGGCCCCGCGCGCCGCGCCGACCGCCGCCGCTGTGCTCTGGGAGTCACCCCCAGAATGCGTCGGGCCTCGCGCTCGCGCTCGGAGCTGCGGCGGCGGGTTGCAGGAGGGGGTGGGACGCCCAGGATGGCCCCAGCCCTCCAAGACGGCCACAGAGAGCTCAAGATGGCCTCCAGGATCGCTCAACATAGCACCGGGTCGGTCAGGGTGGCCTCCAAGGTCGCTCAGCATAGCTCAAGATTGGTGCGGGTAGCCTCCACCATGCCTCCAAGAGGATACAAGAAAGACCGCTCCACGGCGGCCCCCAGAGTGGCGCCGCCGCGGATGCCGTTTCCGGGGGCCTCCAAGGTCGCTCAGCATAGCCCACGACAGGTCCATGTAGCCTCCCACACGCCTCCAAGAGGCCACAAGAAAGACCGCTCCACGGCGGCCCCCAGAGTGGCGCCGCCGCGGGTGCCGTTCTTTCGGGCGCGACGCTGTGCCCAAGGGTGGGGGGCCGCACCTCTCGCCAGCAGGGGGTGTGGGGGGGGGGGGTCAGCGGAGGGCGAGTTGAGACGCCCTGCCCTGAGATCCTCAGGCGATCGCAAACATGGATTTAGGGGGCATGGATTAGCGACGCGTCCCTTTTCCATGGGACATCGCGGATGTCCGCCGCCGAACGAGGCGGCACTGGACGCATTTTGGGGAGGGCACCTCACCCGATCTATGGATTTGGCGACCTTGGGCCAAATCCATAGATCGCTAATCCATGTTTGCGCGCCCCCGACATCCTGACGATGCAATGGTTCGAGCTGGGCGTTTCCGCCCGGTGTCGGGCCCCTGGGGACCCTCACATGTCGATCCGGCTCGAAGAACGACGCAGAAGGATGGGGGTCCTGGGGTCCCGGTCGTGTTCTTGTGGCGATGTGTTGCGTTTGTGGCAGCGTCGGATCTCAGGGTTCGGGGGGCCTGCTCGTCGCCACGGCTGGAAGCAGCTCGGGGCGCTGGTGCGCTCTGACACTGGCAGCTCGGCCGGGGGACCGGTGTGGAGCTGCCGTGGTCTCACCTCGCCCTGCTCCGAGCATCGGAGGTCCTCGAGGGGCGCGGCCCCGGGGCCCGGCTGCTCGACGGGGGTCAACGCAAGCGGGGGGTAGCCAGAGCGCCCGATCTTGCAGGATCCTGCAGGGCCAGGGTCGCATCGACCCGGGCTTGGGCGCAGGAAGCTGCAGGACCTTGCAGGATCCTTCGCGTTGACCCGGGCTTGGGCGCAGGATCTTGCAGGAGCCTGCAGGGTTCTGCAAGGCCTGAAGTCTGGATTGGGCGAGACCCGTCCCCGCAGCCGCCTGTTGGAGGTCGCCGGGCCCACGAGGGCAGCTGCTGGGGCCCGGGCGCTACGAATCGTTCGTGCACCGCTATGCCCTTCCCTCGTTTTCGCCTTTCTGGGCCTCCTGGGGGGCCCTCGTCGCCACGGCTCGCAATTCTAGTCAGAACGCACCCCAGGAGAGGTCCAAGGAGTAGCGGTATTGGTACCTGTTGGGTTTCCCCACGTCTGGGGCCTGCGAGGGGTGGGGTCGGCAGCGTCTGGGGTGCAATCAGGCGGTGTCGGGAGCATCGTTCTGTGCGCTGCAGGAGGGGCCTCGTCTTCGAAGAATCGAAGTTCGGACCTCCAAGGTCGTGGAAAAGCACGACGCGCGTCGTTTCTCAGGTGCGGCGTTGGGGGGCAATTTCTGGGCCCTGGGGCTCTCAGACCCCGTTCCGCAGTTCAAAGGGTGCCAATGCGACCACCTCGTGAAAAGACTACGACGTCAGAGGAATGGGATGTGTCGACCTCTCGCCCTCGGCGGGGACCGGCAGAAGGCACGTGGCTCCCCCACGAGAGGTCTTCGCTGGCATATCCCGACCGCCTGTGGGACGGATCAAGCCAAGTGATGCACTAAAAGTTTGTCTCACCGCTCGAGCTCTCACAACGCGAGAAACGCTCGTCAGACGACGGGGTGAAACGGGCCGCGAGGCCTTTCGATGGGGGCATTGCTTTTGCCGTGTGCCTCCTGGGCGCGCGGCCTCCCGCGCCACGATGACCGCGTCATGGCATTCGTCGTCCTTGTACTCGCCTGCGCGCGGGGGCTGATCTCGGGCAGCCGGAGGCAGGTAAAACTTCTGTGTCACGCACGCCCCTCGTGGGCCCCAGGTCTGGCCCCCAACTCTGGCATCCCGAGGACGACGGAGCTCGGCCAGAGTCTCCGCCAGCGCCTCCTCGGGCGACGCACGGGAAGTGGTCGGCTGCGCGGGCATCCGCGCGCTAAGCCGCCCGCGCAGCGCCTTCCCCTCCACGTGGTGTACCGCGTGAGCGGCCTGCGTAGGCCGTCTCGCTTCGTCGCTGGTTTGCTATCGCGTTTGCCATTGAGCTCAGGGCGTCAAGGATGGCACCACCTCGCACTTAGGCTGCTGGAAGGGTCATGTGCGGGATCGAGCGGTCACAGCTCAGCGCTCCTCTGTAGAGTTTGTCCCTGGCCAGTCTGGCCAAGATGTGCCCAATCGTTCACCAGGACGGCTCTTGGGTGTTCTAGCGGCAGCTGAGGCCAGTTGCACGACAAACGTGCAAAGTAAATGTGCGATGATGTGGCATAGGAACAGCAGAGGCGACGATAAGGGCGAATAGCCCAGGGGAGAGCAATCCATGTATCCAGGGGCGCCGATGATCTACGTCTTCGACAAGGCCTGGGCTAGTCGCCCCTGTCGTCGCCGCCGAGAACATCAGATACGGTCAGGAATTGTGGCTTTGCGTGTCGGGTTGTCGGTTCTGCCTCACAGCGCTCAGGCGCGACACGCCGGCTGTTTCCCAATTCCCAGGGGTCAGCGTTCCGAGCCTTTCCGAGCCTCCAGCCTTTCGGAGCGTAGCGACACGCTAATTACGCCAAGGCCTCCGCCGAAACAGGCTAAGCAAAAGTTCCCGACCGTAGTATACGGCTTGTGGCAACTGATGTACGACATGATTTTGTGCCTCAGCGGTGCTCCAAGCGGAATCGGTTATAGTACGACTGTAATTTCAAAGCGTTGGTCATTCATGAGGCCATGGTGATTATTCCGACCTCCTTGTCTTAGGTCTGGATGGGGCAATCGAGTAAGACTCCAGGGGGCTGGAGATGCTACGCTGTTGTCTTTCGCTTGCGTCCGCTATTGTCGATGCGTGCGCACTCATCTTCGGAGAGGAATGGTCAGCATAATGGCGGACCGTGTCTTCATATTGTTGCCCGCGACTTTCCCACGTTGCGCGCGTGCGCACGCCCACGTTGCCGTAGTGCGCGCGCCTCGTTTTTTGACTCCTCCAAGAAACACCGAGGGGCGCGGACCGTCCTTTTCCGTTATGCGCGGCCGGAGATCTGGTTCAACGAGGCAGTTTAGGCGCTTCCTTACTCTCAGCCACACTCGCAGGCAGTTCCATGCTTTGGTGCAATCTTCGTCTCTTTTTCCTTGCCAGGCTGCGTCTGGCTTCAGCTCGAAACACCTCCAGGACGGTCTTCGCACCGATGCTGCCCTCTCGCGATGCTGGATTCGGTGCGGGGCGGGCGTTTGGTGAGGGGCAAGTCCAGCTGGCTCCACTCGGTGGCGCGATTCGTGTCCCAACGGCATGCTTGGATTGCTGGTTCAGGATTTCCCAGGTCCCAGGACCTTGCCAATCGGTAGCCCAACGACCCAGACATAAGAAGTCGTGGAGAATCACGGCCGCATTGCTCGACCACACCTTCATTCTCCGATCCCCGAGCTGGATAGATCCGTGAGGTTTGAGGGGCCAGAATCTGGCGAAACATCTTGCCGTGACCTTTGTTCGCGACGTCCTGGTGTCAGGCTGCGGTTGCCGTTTTCCCCCCGCATCGCGCGCAAACGCAGGAATCATCAAATTCATGGATGTTTGCATCCCGATGGCGCGCCATTCGCGGACCCATCCGCCCAAGGCCACGCGCGCCTTGCAGGAGGCGATCGTCAGCCGGGGCCTCATCCACGGGCCGCTGTGACAAGACTTTTAGCGATGCGAAGAGGAAGGAACGGCGGAGGTACAAAAAACGGCGGAGGTGGAGGACCAGGGGAAGGTGAGGTAGCAGGTGATGGGGAATGATGATGATGAGGAGGAGGATGATGTTGATGGTAATGATGATCATGATGATGCAGCTGCTGTTGATGATGATGAACAACATGATATTTATGATGGTTCTGATGACGATGATGCTGATGATGATGTTGATGACGATGATGATACTGATGTTTATGATGATGATGGTGATGATGATGATGATGGTAATGCTGCTGCTGATGATCATGATTATGAGGCTCATGATGATGGTGATATTGATGATGGTGATGATGCTGACGATGCTGATGCTGATGATGGCGCTGTTGATGATGATGATGATGATGATGATGATGATAATGATGATGAGGAGGAGGACGATGATAAGGAGAAGGATGAGGACGATGAGGGCGATGAGGACGACGATGATGATGATAATGTTGACGATACTGATGATGCTGATGATGGTAATGATGATGATGATGATGATGATGATGATGATGACGACGATGATGATGATGATGATGATGATGATGATGATGATGATGATGATGATGATGGTGATGTTGATGATTGTGCTGCTGATGCTGACGATGATGACGATGATGGCGAGGATGTTGCTTATGACGATGCTGATGCTGATGCTGCTGATGATGATGCTGATGATGCTGATGATGGTGATGGTGATGGTGATGGTGATGGTGGTGACGACGATGCTGATGATGATGATGATGATGATGAGGAGGAGGAGGAGGAGGAGGAGGAGGAGGGGGAGGAGGGGGACGAGGAGGAGGAGGAGGAGAAGGAGGAGGAGGAGGAATAGGATGATGATGCTGCTGATGATGAAGATGATGAGGAGGAGGAGGAGGAAGAGGAGGAGGAGGAGGAGGAGGGGGAGGATGTGGAGGAGGTGGGGTGACGTTGGGCGTGATGAGTAGGAGGAGAAGGAGGAGGAGGAAGAGGAGGAGGAGGAAGAGGAGGCGTAGGACGGATTTTACAGGAATTGTAGAGGGAATGGGTGGAGTTACGGAGTTACGGATATTGCGACTGTGTCGGGAAACGCTGACTGAAAGTGGGCTATTACCCTCCAGAACCTCGACTGGACTTGGCTCTCATGGCCTTCTCGGATGAGCTGTAGGCTTTGGGCCACTTCCCTACAGAGATATTCTTTAAATATTGAACGCGATTGCCTGTGGCAGGACCCGTGCACTCGCTTCCCAAAGACGCGAGTTGCTGGGCGGCATACCCGCCACATCTGCCACAGAACCAGATCTCCAAAAAAGAATGGTGCTTCAGCTGGTGACTACTATGAGCCCATCCCCCACATATGTGCACCCGATGCCCGTGGGGGAGATCATAAATTACACCATCCACCGAACGCAGATAAAAGCAAGGCGAATCCAGCCAGGTTCGACGAGCAGCCTGGGAGGACGACCCTTTGCAATCAAGACACGAGTTACCTTTCTCAGACAGCCTATGTTGAGAGGAAAACGCAAAACAGATTTGAGGGGCAGGAGGTCTAACTATTGGGTGCCGACAGCGGCCTCTCTTGGGCCCCTCACTAGACAGGTTCTGCTCGGCCTCTAGAGTCTGCAGAGTACTTACGAGGATCCTCATCCGAACCCAGTAAGCCATATGCTCGACCTGGGCCACTCGGGCCCGATCAGCTTCTGAAACCCTGCACAGGCTAGCTCCTACCCCCGCAAGGTGATCTACAATAGTACTTCCTGCGATTAGCAGGGGGGGGGCGCGGCCAGCAACAATATCTGTGGCCTCAAGGTGAGAGTATACAAATATCACACAGCACTGGATGGACGGCCGACGGCGAAGCTCGGTGCCTATAGCATACCAAAGATCTCCGTCCTCGCCATCGGGTGAGAAAGGTTTGCCTGCATGCCAACCTTCACAAACATTAGCATTATCGGTGATATATATGAAATATCCTGATGCTCCTCGGCACGCTACGAGCAACGCATACAACTCGCCACGTGCAACGGTCTGCCTCTCGCCAGGCAGTCCTCCCCAAAGAGCTTTGCTGATGGTCATACTATCGTCGAGGCGGTCGAGGACAGCGAGAGCGACTCCGACCCGTCGAAGCCGAGGGTCACGAGTGTCCTCACCGCCGCTCGCATCCCCGAAGATGTAGATGGGATCGTGGGGGCTTCCACCTCCCAGTACCTCGGGCTCGAAGGCGTCGATCCCAAACACGTGCCAACACTCCTGAGCCTGCGGTGGTGCAACTCGAACCCATTCGGCGGGGATGAGCCCCCGCAGCCAGAAACATGGCTCAGTTTGATGCTGGACCATGGCCTTCGTCAACCACTCATCGCTCATGTCATAGATGGGGTGCGGGCTCCTGCCAGAACACACTCCCCAACAACGATGAAAACTATCCTCCTGCTCAGTCTGGCAGCGAGCGCACAGCGGTGAAATGGGGCCCTTAGTCCGCTCCGATCGCCTCGTGCGCGGCCATGCGGCGCCTGCTGCAGCAGCCAGCATGATCCCGAACAACTTGGCCCCGTTGGGCCCGTCGCGCAGCTGCTGGAGGAGGGTGCGGTACGACATGTTGCAAACACCGAACTGCGAGCCCTCGCCATCGAAGTGCTGGGACGCCTCACGCCACAGCCGAGACTGAACCGTGGAGTCGAATTCCTGCAGGAAGGCCTTCGGGACGTCCAGAGATGGAACCCCCGCCAGCTTGCCCACCTCGAACTCCCAGCCTCCCTCGCCGTCAGCGGCTGGAAGCTCCCAGGCAGCTGGTCCGATGGGGTTCCACCCCTCCTGTATGAGGTAACATATGACCGCGGACTGCGGTCCTCGAATGCGTCTGCTGCGCTGGGTTGCGGGGATGGCGCGCAGCTGCTGCACCAAGCCACTCCAGGCGCGGGCGACGCCCGCTCGCATGGACGGCTCCGACGTCCAGCATCGCAGCCACAACTGAAGGCACTCCCTCGGCATCTTCATGGCAGGATCCCTACCAGGGGCGATCAGGTCCAAGAGGGTGGTGCTGCATCGCCCTGAAAGCCGCGGAGCAACCGCCTCGCACATGTAGGGTCGCATGGTCTGCAAGCGTCGGCCGAACACGCCATGCAGCTGGTGCCCGTAGGCCCCTGCCGCCAGCGCCCCCTGCTGCTCCAGCTTCGAGGTCAGCTTGTACCTGCGAGCTGTACGTGCGTACTGCGCAACCTTGCGATGCATTCGCTTATGCTTCTGATCTCTGCCAACCCGAACAGCACGGGCGTGAGAGTGACCGCCTCCAAAATCGCCACCCAAGTACGCTGCCTGTGCTGCCGCTCGAACATGATAACCGTGCTGTCGGACTCGTCGCACAATGGCTCGTGCATCTGCTAGCTTCGAGCAAACCACAACACTCTTGGTGGCTATGGTCAAACCGTGCTCCTCCATCTGCTCAAACGTCGTGATGAGACAGGCCGACAGATGGGAAACGACAGCTCGACGGGAACCACGAACAACCTGGCTCAAATCATCTATCCACAGGCGGTGTGACACACCGATGTGGGTAGACGTAATCCGCTGCATGATGAAAAAAGTGGTGATCTTCGCAAACCTTGCGCCTGCTCGCAACCCCTGCACAATCGGACGCGTAGGTGAAAAGGGAGCCGAGTAGGCGCCTGATTGTCTCAGGCACCTCATCGCCATGCACATGGGGAGCTCGAGGCCGAGGATCTCGGGGGGAAAGCCCAGGCGCAGCGCCGCCAGTGCTAGCCTCTTCCATCCTATCGAGTCGTAAAAACTGGCGATGTCCAGCAGCCCGTGGCCACGGGCGACGCCCAAGCGGGCCGCTAGCTCCTCGTCCACCACGCGGAGGAAGGCCTCCTGGATGGCAGCGTTCCCCTTGATCGCCGCGTCCCACGGCGCCTCGCATTCCTCGGCCCAGCTCTGCACCCACGGTTCCCTGGCCTTGGGCCAAAGGCGCGATATGTGAGGTAGCAGGCCGATCGCCCTGTCGCCCGTGACCTTCTTGGGCAAGAGGGTGCCGATGGTGAGCAATAACTGATGTGGCCAGCACTGGAAGATTTCGCACGTGTTCAAGATCGCAGCCAGCTCGTCGAGAGCGACGAGAGGAAGACGGTCCAGGTCGCATGCAGACAGCCTGTCGACACCCATGGCGGCGTTAGGCTTGAGCTGTCTGCCCGCGTACTTTAGCTCCCCAGCGGTGAGGTCTGGCAACCGTTCCTCTTGAACACGCTCGCGAATCTGCTCGAAGATGCCCTCGAGCTCGACCTGGGAAACCTGCTGAGGTGGACTCCAGATCTTCTCCCAGTGCAGCCTTTTCACGTCCAAGATGTCCTTGGGATGTAAAATGGCGTGCCCTTCCTGTTCCAAAACAACTGGTGCTGCCGGCTGCTCCTTGATCGCTCGATGCAAGCAAGATACTGCTGCCTGCGTCTCCATCCATTCACGAAGCTCTGCAATTGATTGATTGATGGCTCGTGCCTGGCTCCTCCTCGCAACAAGCTCGCTTTGAGTAGCTGCGTCACGCAACTTGTCCTCGCCACAATCTCGAAGCGTGCCAAGCAGCTGCAACCATTGACTCCATGAAAATTGACCCCCTGGCCTGATGCACTTGTGCCCCTGCTCGGGGGCTGAAGCTCGCAAATCGACCCCTGCTGCTACAAGGGTGACCTGCTGCTTCTCTCCATTGCCTCGAAGTCGATGCCCGCGATACTGAGAGATAACTGTGTGTGCTCGTGTCCACCACCCGCTGATGACGTCACGAAGGGCACTGACTCTGGCTGGCGTCGCCTCCAGAACAACATCAGTGCGAAACTTGGGCGAATCAGCTCGTGTTCGCCCAAGAGGGACCTGAGAGTGGTGGGCGGCCAGGGTGCACTCCAAGGTGCGCGCCCATGCGGCGTACAGGCCGCTGATGAAATCACAATGGCTGGAGCCAACACGAAAGGCTACGGAGGCAGCAACAGCATCAGCAGGGGGGTGAGCCCCCGATGGGACGAAGCCGATGGCGCTCCTTTGTTCCCTCCAGAGACTCTCGGCAACCTCGAAATGGACAGGGGGCTCACCCTCGCTAGTGCATGGTGGCTCACTCTCGTCTCGACCAGGCTGCCCATTTGAAACCGAACCGCTCTCTGGACTCTCCGCTGAGGATGATGTCTCCCTGGGCTTCGAATCGGGGCGAGTGGGTTCAGGGCTCTTGACTTGACTGTCTGACTGACTGTCTGACTGAAACTGAAGCGGAGAGGAGGCAGCAGCAAAAGAGAGCGTCGGGTCGAAGCCGAAGTTGGGCTCGTCGGCCCACGGGTCGTCTTCCGACTCGAAGCCCAGGTCGTCACCATCCTCGGCGCCGCCGCTACCTGTAGTAGCTTCGCTGATGGGAACCTGGGCTGCTGACGCTGTCTCGCTGTTGCCCTCTTCATTTTGCTTCCCAGAAACAGGGAACCATTCACGAATTTTGTCGTGCCTACGCTGGCGAGCTGCTTGTTTACAAACGCGAAGCTGTGCCTTGGCTATGCTACTCTTGGACCCCTCAACTGGCTGCTGCTGTGGCCTGGGGACCGAGGGCAGCCGAGGGGGTAAATCAAGATATCTAGTGTGAAGCTGAGACCCTTGGGCAACTAGTTCCAAAGAGAGGCCTACATGGGGCTTCCACGGAACGTCAACAACTGCAGTGAGGCCTCTGATGTACGGTTTTGCGGCCTCAGAACATACCACATAATCTAAGTGCGACGGCTTGTGCTCGCTATTCGTGGGCGTGCAAGTGTGCTCGATATCGGACCGAAGAATTGTCCCTCCGATCCTCTCCAAAAAACCGGTCCTAGACAAATCTGAGGGAGACAAGTTCCAGTCTCCTATTGCAATCCATGGCAACTGAAGTGTGGCGAGAAGACTTCCTATCCTGCGGAAACGAGCCGTGTTAGCCTGACCAAAACCTACGCCAGAGTGGCCGTATACAATACACAAGATTATTGAGAAGCCGCTCATGTGCAATTGGCATGGCAGGAAACCGTCGAACATGCCTCCTCTATCTGCCCTGAGCCCCTTGGCTGCTCGCGCAGCGTCCAGGACTTGAACTGGTCGGTGGTTCTTGGTCAAGAGCCACTCGCCTCCCTCGTTGGCCCGCTCCCCCTGGGAGGCGCTGACCTTCTTCGACTTGGGCCTCGCTCCGCTGGTGAACAGCTTGAGTGCCCGCCCCCGAGCTTTAGCTGTCCACTTGGCAACGTCACCAGACCGAACGTGAGATTCCACTACCGCCAGGTAGTCGTGGGACTTGGACTGAGAACACACATACTCCCAAGCTTTGTCTCCCATGCAAGTCACATTCCCGCAAAAGACTCGTGTCGTACCCGACGGAGTCGTCCCCGTAGACGGCGTGGATGCTGAAGATGCCGAACTTGTACTGGTAGATGGGCCGCTCGACGGCACCGGTGTGCTCGGGCTCCCTGGCCCTAGTCACAGCTCCTCATCTTCACCGCCGACCGCTGTCCGCACGGCAGCGTTGTCCCCGCCGCTGCCAGTGGCCGTCGACCCACCCTTGCCACCCGAAGGGCCTTTGGGGCTGGCGCCGCCCGAAGGGCCGCCGCTGGCGACGGCCTGGGCAGCGGCGAAACGTGCCGCGGACAGCCTGGCGGCCTCCTTCTTCAACTGCGCCTCCTCATCCTTGGCGGTCTTGGCGGCGTCGGCCTCGGCGGTCTGCTGCTGGGGCCCCTCGCCGCCGCCGACCTGCTGCTCTTGAGGTGGCATCGGCTTGTCAGTGACGGTGGCCTCGACGCCCTCCTGCTGGCAGCGCCTCTTTTTCGACATCCGCTCAGTGACCTCCTTTTCCACCTGCGCAACGCGCTCGAGGAAGGACTTGAGCTCGCTGTCTTTGGTGGCGAACTCCTTCTGATACCCTTGCAACTGCGCTTTGAGGACGCGCAGCTGCTCTTTGTCGCTCTCCTCGCACTCCCACTCCTCGAACATGTCGAAGATCTCGCTGTTGATCCGCACCTCGAAGGCTGGCTCGCCCTTGCCCTCCTTCACGGGTGCTCCTGCTAATCCTTCTGCGCTCGCAAGCGCCTGGGCTGCTTTCTTCTTCGCCGCCTCCGCCTCTGCCAACTCGACAGCGGCAGCTTGTTCTTTACTCTCTGCATTCTGTAGCTGCGTCCGCAGCCGCAAGACCTGGGTGACGAGCTGCTCGTGGCGATGCCCCGCAGCTCGCCACGCGCCGTCCGCCTGGCGGACGAGCTCGGCAGCGGACTGGGTGGAGCCCATCTCGCCGCGCTCCGCCAACTTCTGACTCTGTGCGATCAGGACCTGGCGCATCTCCTCGTTATCAGCGGCCTGAGCTGCTTGGTTAAGAAGATCGGCGAGCTGCTGCTGCTTCTCGCGCTCCTTAGATGCCGCACGCCGTGATGCACGAGACCTACCAGCACTTTCACCTTTACTACTGGGGACCGTGCTCACGTCGATAACCTCTGCGCTGTCCTCGAAAGATACTCGTTTATCGCTGAGGGCTGGAGAAGCTGAACGTGGGCGGAAGAGTCGGATCTTCTTGCCACAGCGCCCGCACTTACACCCTTGCTTCTCCAGTTTATCGTTGTACTCTGGCTTCTTGCAATGACCACAATGGCTCCACACACGATTGGTCATCGGCATATTTCTGAGAGAAACTCCTGCTTTCGTCGATCCCTGGTCACTGGGCTCTGGAGACCAGGGAAAGTCACTCAAGCACCCCGATGAGGTACAGGAGAGGCCCGAACAGCGCCTGCCTCGGGGGACAGGACTTGTGCTCGAGCCTGAATGGCTTGAGGAGGGAATGGGTGGAGGAGGAGGAGGAGGAGGAGGAGGAGGAGGACGAGGGGGAGGAGAGTGGATGTTGAGGAATATGTAGAGGAATGGGGGGAGGAGGGGAAGGTGGAGGAGAAGGAGGATGAGGACGATGAGGAGGAGGAATGGAGGAAGGATGAGGAGGAGGATGAGGAGGAGGAGGAGGAGGAGGAGGAGGAGGAGGAGGAGGAGGAGGAGTCGGCGGCGGCGGCGGCGGACGGACGGACGAACGGACGGATGGACGGACGGACGGACGGACGGACGGACGGGGGGGGAGGAGTGGGTCATGGGTCATAGCATGGGAGGTTGATGGGGTGGAATTTCGCCTCCTGGAGGGCCAGCCTTGTCCTTGAGAGCACCCCGTGTGGCTACTCTGGCCCGTATAGGCACAGGGGGGATCCGGCGTTGACAGCTTCGAGACAGCGAAGTTCAAGGCGACTTCCGCCCTCGGGTCCCCCGCGTCGCGAGAAAGATCGCGATGGTTTTGCATGCGTTCCGAATTGTCCACGGGCGGTTTGGGCAGTCGGGGCGCCGTGTTCCGGTGTCGATAGGGTCGTCGGACGCCGATCGCAGGTCGGCCTGGGTCAGTTCGGAGACGTTCTTGGACCACTCAGATGCGATATAGCCATTGTGTGCTTCATGGGACCCGCTGCATTGGGTGAGACCTTACGGCCAGTTCCGCCGACCCTGAATTTGGGATCAGTAGACAGGCCCCGGAAGGGCCAAGACCTTCAAAGCCTGATTGAAGTCTCCTGGGAGGCCTCTCGGGGGGCTCGTCGAGGCATGTTTGAAGCCTCGTGGGGCCTCTAGGGAAAGTCTTGGGGGCATCATGGAATCTTTCGGGGTCTCTTGAGGCTTGCTGGCGGTCTCGGGGACCAATTCTTTTGGAGAGCGGGCTGTCTTGGGACCCTTTGGGGCCACTTGGGCTATGCTTGGACGATCCCGGGGACCTTGGGCCGTCTTGGGCTGTTCGAAGCCCGAAAAAACTGAAACGCGAGCCGCCGTGGGCTGTCGGAAGGAAGACACAGCAACTAAAACGCGAGTGCTGTTGTCTCGTGGGGCTTTCTTGGAGCTGATCTCGGAGCCCTCGTGGGGCGTCTCGGGGGCGTGCTGGGCCGTCTTGAGGGCATCTTGGGCCGTCTTGGAGCGCTCCTGGGCCGTTTCAGGGCCCTCTCGGATCGTCTTGGATCAGTGTTCCCGGAAGAAGGCCAAATTGGTCGAAAGATGATGTCAAAGAGGCGGGGGGACTTTCTCAGTTTCTCCCAGGGTGGGGGGCTCCCCCTGGGGACACCCCCCCAGTGGCGGGAAAACGATTTCAAGGGAAGGAGCTTCCATCCGACTCGATTGCGACGTTGCTCGATTTCCCTCGGGCTGGGGGAGGAGAGGTGGGGAGGTTCGATTGGAACTGGTTCTGTCAGGACCACCCCAGGAGGGCCACCCTTGGACCCCCTCATACGCGCGGACAGGGTCGTCGGATTTTTCAATCGGAAAAATCCCAAAGCTCCAGATCACTCGCATGCAATGCAAGAGCGTCGAGCGATATCTTGTCACGGGTTCCCTGTGAGGATACGCAAATCTCTGCGTCCGCTTCCCCCACCCCCCGTGAAGCACGTCCTCGAACGACGGCAGTTCTCCTGCCGTCTCTTGTGTCCCGGCCTGGGCCCCACAGAGATTCCAGGCGAACTCCCACAGCGGCACTCTGCCGACAGAAACTTCGTGGTTTGCGTCAGAGGCGTTGGACATATTGTCGAAAGCGGTTGAGGACGAGGAGGAGGAGGAGCAGCAGCAGCCAGGCATCTGGCAGGGACGCGATTTATGAGAAGGGGGGTTCTGGTCCTTTCTGTCCTGTGCACGGCTTGGGAGCGCTTTCAGCTCTGCGGGTTAGGTGTTGCTCTTGTTCCTTCCCCCCTTTCTCCTTCTCCTTCTCCACGTACTCGTCCATCCTACATACCCCTGGTCGTCCTCCTCTTTTTCTGAATGGTGCACCCTCGTCATGGCTCTGACAGCGGCCGAGGCGGGGCTGGGCTTGTGCAGCCGCACCTGCTACGGCCCATGCTCATAGTGGCCTTCGCCGACCTGAAGAAGTACCACTACGCGTACACAGTTCCTTTGCAGCTGCAAAGGGTGAGTTGGCCAGCGATTACGTTCCTTGCCCCGTAGTCCGGTAAATTGTTCAGACTTTCTGTGCGCGCGTTTGCCAGATGCGAGTGTGGTTCGGTCGCACGTCCAGCACGCACACAAGTTTTCGAACCTGGGCTGCCACTTGGTGCAGGACCAGTCGTGGCGGGATTCTGCTCACGGTGCAACCGTGCCAACATTCGGCATGGACGATGTGTTTGTTGACGCCAGCCCTCGCCAGGCCAATCCTGTCTGTGGGGTCGAACCTTCATCGTGCCGCGACGCCCAGGTTTCGCTCCCAGTGCTGGCCCTGCCGTCGAAGCCCTGGCTGGCATACAGGGGACCACAGGGCGCTGAGGACGCGGCCTTTCCCCATGCGGAGTGGGGAGGAGGAGCGAGGAGCGAGGAGCAGGAGGAGGAGGAGGCGGAAAGAGGAGCGAGGAGGAGGAGGAACGAGCTGGGAGGAGCGGGGAGGGGGGAGGAAGAAGCTTTCGAAGGTTAGTGAACGGTTCCTGATGATTGTCGGTGGTCGGTGGAGGTGTGCTGCAGCTTTCGAGGCAAGGACCTCTCTTGTAGGCGACTGGAGCTCGACAAGAGCTTCAAAGCGGGATACTGGCACCGATGCCTCGATTGGCCTTCTAGGGGCCACGGTGCCCAAGAGAAACCACTTGTGCCCTGACGTCTAGGCACCGCGAGACAATTCACGACCAAGTTTTGTTGAACATTAGTTCCTACACAACGATTTTTGTGGTGCCCCCCATATCCGCTTTGGCGCTCTCGCCTCGGCGCCGGCTGCACTTTCTTTGAAATTGAGGCTCACGCTCAAGCGTTTCGAGGGACCGCCCAAACCAGCCCCCAAACAACAACAGCGCTTCTGTGCGAGATTTCCTTACACCTAACTCCGAGAGGCCCTGGCCAGAGAGGGCCCGAACCTCAGAAAGGGCGATCTCGCCTGACACCTCCGCGCAATTTAGAACCACAAGGGGGTCTTTCAGAGCAGTCTTGCTGCTGCTTGCGAATGCCAGAGTGGCTGTTTCGCTTGAGATTTCCGTGCAATGTAGCACTGCCGGGGGGTCCTTCAGACCAATCTTGTCGCTGCTTGCGGATGCCAGAACGGCAGCCTCCCTTGAGATCTCCTTGAAATTTAGCACCACAAGATGGTCTTTCAGAACCAGGTTGCTGATACTCGTGAATGCCGGAACGGCCTTTTCGCTTGAGACCTTTTTGCAATTCGACGCTACAAAGGGGTTCTTCGGAGCATGTTTGCTGCTACTCGCAGATGCAGGAACGGCAGTTTCGCTTGATATTCCTTGGCGATGCAGAAGCGCAGGGGGGTCCGGTAAAGCAGTATTGCCGCTACGTGCGCAGAGGCCGCAGGAGTCTCCAGGACGCTCCAAGGATATGTGTTTGGGGAGCGTTTTCGGCCCTTCCGCCCCCAGGAGGTCCCTGGAGGCATTCTCCTGTATCGGGATACGTGTTCGGGGAGCGCTTTTCGGCCCCTCCGCTCCCAGGAGGCCCCAGGAGGCATTACTCTGTATCGGGCCATGTGTTCGGGGATCGTTTCTGTTAGCCTTCCCGCCTCGGGGAGCGCTTTTCGGCCCCTCCGTCCCAGGAGGCTCCGGGAAGACCCAGGACACGTCTTTCAGTATTGCGATAATATGTCAATACAGGAAACTGCGCCCTCCCCGGAGGGAGAAACCGTGACCTCCCCGGACCAGGAGGCGCAACCGCCGTTCCCCGGCAGCGCCTGCCGGGGTACGGAAATTCTTTGCAGGGGTACGGCCTCCCCCGCCAGGGCGGGGTGATGCTCCGTAACCTGGCAGGCTGGGGCATTGTCCCCAAGGCCAGGTTGGGATCGCTGCAAACATAATATTTGTTGCCCCTCACCAGTGGCCTCCCATGAACTTTGACACACTCCCATCTGTGTTCGGGGAGCGCTTTTCAGCCCCCCCGCCCCGAGGAGCTCTCCTGGGGCTCGAAGCCTTTTTGTGTTTTACGTATGTTCTTAGATACTGCCACTCTCCTTGGGCTCGAGCCCTTCGTGTTTCGAACCCCCACCGTTCCCCGAAATCGCATTGTTTTTTCTGAGCGGAAATGGGAAAGTGCCTCGGGAGAGGTATTGGCTCGACCTCCTCAGGCGGGAGATCTGGGTGTGGGGAGACCGCTCTCTTTTTTAAATAGTTTCCCCAAGAGGGGGTGGCATCATGATGGATGGGTGCACGCGGCATGTCGAGGCATGGCGCGTGAAGGTTACATGATGGCCGATGTTTTTCAATGAAAGTGTCCCTCCTGGGGCTCACAATTTGTTTTTCGCTCCAGACTGGTTTATTGGCCCCCGAACTACCACAACAACGGCTCCCGCCTGTTACGTCTTCAAAACTTATTTGAAATCGCGCTCTCTCGCGGGGCCTCTTCGAAATGTATCCAGGAATCGCGCTCTCGCGTCGCACTTCTTTCAATTTATTGAAACGCAGCGCCGCCAACAGTCAGGAATCACGCTCTCGATGAGCATTGCCAAACGGTTTATTTGGGAATCGCGTTGTCGCTCTAACTTTCCACGCGGTTCATGCAGGACTGACGCTTCAGTGACCCTCTCGCTCGACTCGGCCGCCCGGGTGCTGACCCGTCCCACCCGACCCCACGAACCGCCCGTTTGTATATGTTGTTCTCCCGTTCCTAACCGCCCTCCTGCTCCACCCTTCTCTCGTCCCTTCCCTTCTCTGTCGTGCTCCACCCTTCTCTCGTCCCCTTGTTCCTTCCCTCCTCCCTTCCCCTGTTTTAGGGGCTGCGCCAACTACATGTGGCACGCAAGGGAGGCATACCCCAAAGGGAGGTACGATCGAAGACGAAGAGGGCGGGTATCGATGGTTTGGATATATATATATAGATATACACACATATATATATATATAGATGTTTCCACATGTTTTGAGTGACCCACTAACAGATAAGAGCGAACAGTCTTAAACTGATTGTTGTTGTGCCCCCGCTTCGAGCCTCCAGGACCTTCATGGATCGATCTGAGGACTAGGATGAGGAGCAGCAGTAGCAGGCAGACCGGTGCCAGAGTTCGGCGACTTCTGGAGCCCAATCCTCCAGAATCTGAGTCCAGCTGAAGAGTTGTGCAGCAGCGGCTCTCGAGATACGACGTCTTGAAAAGACTACGGCGTCGTCACACGTGACGACCAGAGATCTCGACCCCGTCATTCTGCGAGATTTGTCGAGCCACGTCGACTTGGGAGGGTCTTACTTACCTGGGACAGGGCCCGCCCGCCTTGTTTTTGTTTACGACGCTGGGATGCCGGAGGTGGTGGCGGCAGCGGCAGCCGCCCTGTCGTAGTCACGAAGCCCTGTGCCAACGAAGACGCCGCCGCGCGGGTGGGCGACGCGGTCGGCGTCGATGGCGGCGGCGGCGACGACGACGAGGACGACCACGACGGCGACGGCAGCCGACAACGCGACGACGACGACGACGATGACGGCGGCGGCGGCGGCGAAGACGACGGCGACGGCCGCGGCGACGGCGACGGCGACGGCGACGGCGACGGCGACGGCGACAGCGGCGGCGGCGACACGGCGCCCAGGAGTTCGGGCTCGGGCGCGAGGTGTTGCAGTCGCTGTCCTCGCGCCTTGCGCGCGATGCGGCCCTCGCCGCCGCCGGCGTGTTCCTGCTGGCGCCGCGCCTCGCCCTTTTGGGGGGGTAGAGCGCCTGGGAGACTGGGGGGGGGGTCGTATTCGTCGTCCGTCGTGGTGGTGGTGGTGGTGGTGGTGGTGGTGGTGGTGGTGGTGGTGGTGGTGGTGGTCGTGGTCGTGGTCGTCGTCTGGCGCGCGATGCGGTCCTCGCCGCCGCGGGTGCACTCATGCTGGCGCCGCGCGTCCCAGGGAGCCACCCGAGAGAGACAGGCTGGCGATGGGTGGAGGGGCCCAGGCGCCCTGTCACCTGGGCGTTGTCGTGAAGAAATCGCGGCGGGTGTGTGCTTGCCTCGTCGGGACCCTCTCGGATCGATCTGGCTCGAGCTTCTTGCGAGTTTCGCGTGTGATGGCTCCACGGCGCTTGCGTTTCTAAACAGCGTCGGATATCAGGGCGGGACGCGACGAGAGTTGCCTGGGAAGGAAGAGCACCGCATTGCATGTCGTGGCATGGCACCGGATGACTTGGAGGGTAAGTGGCCAGTCTACGGGAGGACAGGGCCTGTGCGGAATGCAGGCTCTATGTCCTCCGCAACCGTGCCTGCCCGATGTGGGCGCTTTCGAATTCCAAGTGCCGTCCAGAGGCGCGGGAACGAGGCCAGCGTTGCAGCGGGAGCACGATTTTGAATGACCGAAGCGCGGTAAGGAGGGCGGCGCTGCAGCGGGAGCACCATTTTGGAAGAACCAGAAACGACCGGATCGAAAAAAAGGAACAACTAGTGCCATCTTGTGCGTAAACGAACGATGCGCGGAGAGAGGGCGGGACACTCACCGGACAGAGTGAGGGGAGAGAGGAGAGTAGTTTTCATAGTGTGCAATTGTGGAGGATGCGGGGGGGGGGAAGGATGAGGAGCGGCTTGCGGGGTACGCCAGAGCACACGCCGTTCCCTATCCGCATCTGTGGGGTCCGGGATGTCCCTGGTATACGCCGGTCGCTAGACGTAGGTATCTCTGGATTCCTAGATCCCAATCTACCTCAAGCGCCTTCCTACCTTCCTACTTCAAGAATCGGCATGGTTTTGATGTTCTCGGTTATTCGCAGGGACGGCCTGAACCCAATCTACTTGATTCGCCTTCCAACTTCATGTGTTTAGATACTTCTGCTGGCTGACTGGTAACCCTCCATGGTGCGATCGGCAGCGACGCGCAGGTTCGGTCATCAACTGGCGAGCCCTGGGACGTCAAGCCTTTGGGCGAGCTCACCCAGCTCTCGTCTGTATCTGACGAGGTGGGTGTGGGCAGGGAGCTGCAGCGAGAGGCGTTTTCCGACACCTCCGGGCCGATTCGAATCGATTTCCCAGGTTGCCGACTCGATGCGAACATTCCGATTCACGATTCCGATTTTGAGTTCGGCCGTTCCGACTCCTGCCAATTCAATATTTCAGCCGACTTTGCCGATTTCTTCCGATCCGGCTTCGCGCCAGGGGAGCAGGGAGGATCCTCGTCGACGACGGCGACGGCGACGGCGGCGACGACGGCATCCGGCGGCGACGTCGACGGCGACGACGGCGTCCACGGCGACGTCGGCGGGGGAGGCCGCAGGCCTCGACCCTCGATTCGGAGGGATTCCAGGACGGAGGAGGAGGGAGGAAGAGGCAATCCCCCCGAAGGGCCTCCCAAGGGGCCCCCGGCGTCCATGCACGGGCCCCCGACGGGCCTGACCCTCCCCCATGGGTCTGCAACCCCCCGGGGGGGGGGGCCAACAAATCCCTCCCCGGGCGGGCGTGGGGTCTGCAAATCTCTCCCGGGGGGTCAGCAAACCTCCACCAGGGGAGGTCTCCAAACCCCCTTGGAAGGGGTTCACAACCCCCGTTTGGGAGGGTCGACAAACCTCCCGAGCCCCAGGGGGGTGGGTCTGCAAACCACCCCCATCCCAGGGGGGGTCCACAAACACTCCCAGGGGAGGTCACTAACCCCTCCCCTTGGGAGGGGGGGGTCTGCAACCCCCCGCCTGGCCCGCGGGGGGGGTCCACAAACGCCTCCCAGAGGGGGGTCACAAACCCCTCCAGGGGGGATCTGCAAACATCTCTGGGGGGGTCCGCAAACCTCCCCCAGTGGGAGGGTCTGCAAACTTTCCGGATGGGGGTCTGTAAACCCTTCCGCGGGGGGGTCCGCAAACCCTCCCAGGGGGGTTCACAAAACCTCCCCAGGGGGTTCTACAAACCTTCCCTGGGGGGAGTCCGCAAACACTCTGGGGGGGTCCACAAGCCCCCCCTTTGGGTCGCACAACCCCCCCCCACGGGGGTCTGCAAGCCATCCCCGAGGGGGGGGCCCACAACGGCCCGAGGTGGGGGCCACAAGTCCCGCCGGGGAGGGGTCTGCAACCCCCTAGGGGGGGTCATCAACCCTCACCCGGGGGGGTTCTGCAATCCCCGGGGGGTCTGCAAACCCCTGCAGGGGGGGTGCGGACCCCCACGCTGGGCAAATTTCGACGACGTCGGACGACGTTCGACGACTCACGACGACGATTGCGACGTTCGACTACGTCGGACGACGTGCGACGACGGTCGATTGATGGCCTGACGACGATTGCGACGACGTTCCACGACGTCAGGCGACTTACGACGACGTTCGACGGACGGGGATGTCAACAACGAGTCCCACCAGAGGACGCGCTCATTGTGCCTGCCGATGTCGATTCCAACATGGCGTCCGTCCAGCCGGTTTCCAACTTGATCCGGCTTGGCCCTGCCGATTTCTTCCGACGTCGATTTGGCAGCCGACTTCTGCTGGCTTCTGCCAACGCGATGCTCGGGTCTACCCGACTCGACTTATCGATTCGATGTTGGGGCCGCCTGGAGAGGATGAAGGATGCATGCGCGCGCGATCCGCCGCGCGCGCGTGTGCAGGACCAACCGGGGACCTCCGTGAGCTGTCTCGTAGTCTGGTCACCCAGCGCGGTGGTGAGGCCGCGGCCGCCACGTTCATCCGCGGTGTGGCACGAGTTTCGCAGGAGCCGAGTCTTCGTATATACGGAGCCGCGGCGCCTTCGCGGAGGAGTCCGGGGTCCATGCCAAGAGGCTTGCAGGGGTCTCACCTGGCAGGGCGCTCTGCGAGCCCGAGGGCTCGCGAAATGCCTCGCTTGGGAGGGGGCTCTGAGAGCCCGAGGGCTCGCGGAATGCCCATGGCCGAGGAGGAGGAGGAGGAGGAGGAGGAGGAGGAGGAGGAGGAGACTAGCTGAATGCTCAGCTGAGTGCTCATCAGTGGAGTGTAAAATCACCGCTGGATCCGTATTGTTCAGCGGCTGAGTCGCTCACATTCAGCGGCGACGGGTGGAGGTTCTGGCTTGACCCCTACTGTCTATCAGTACTGGATCTGCTGCTGCCTCTTTTTTCTTTTCCCTTGCTCCATCAGCTTTCACTTAGGAAAGGCAGCAGACTTCATTGGCCTTTTGCTCTGTACTATGAGGTGGAGGAGGAGGAGGAGGAGGAGGAGGAGGAGGAGGAGGAGGAGGAGGAACAGGAGGAGGAGGAGGAGGAGGAGGAGGAGGAGGAGGAGGAGGAGAGGAGGAGGAGGAGGATAGCCAGACTTGCTCCGCCAGGGGAGGGCCCCCTCGTCACAACGGCCAGCTGCGGCTCAAGCAGAAAAGCTGGGCAGGGAGGTTCCCAGGAGGCCGCCCAGAGCCCGTGAGCGGCCAGGTGGTCTCTTCTTGGCGGTCCGAACTGGGCCTCCTCGCCTGTTCCTGTTCCCTCGGGGCTCAAAGACGGGGGTGTCAGGGCAAACGGGGGACACTCAGAGCGGCAGATCTTGCAGGATCTTGCAGCGCCAGGGTCGCATTGACCCGGGCTTGGGCGCAGGATCATGCAGGATCCTGCAAAGCTTGACTGAGCACTGGCCTGGATTAACCCGGGGCAGTAGATCCCCGACTCCTTTCCCCCACTCGCCTTGCTCCCCGCCCCTGCGCGGCTCTCCCGACCAGCCCCTAGTTGCCCTGAGACGCCCGTATCGAAACGCCACACGTACCGTGTTCAAAACGTCCGTGTTCACACGCCGCGTGTTGGCTTGGCGCGTGCTGTGTCACCGTGTTGGCCAACGTATCGCGCCAGACCTACGTCCTCAATCTGCGTGCTGAGCTCCGTGCCAACACGCTATGGATGGCCCGCCCCCTCTAGGTTGCAAGGCGTCGGCGGCGCGGCACCAGCCGGCGGAGGGCCGCGACCGCGATCGCCGTCATGGAGGGACACGGGTCCCGAGTTTTGTCGCCGTTTTCGGGCTTTCGGGGCCATCCACGGGCCCCGGGGCTGTCATAAAACGATTCGAGATGGAGAATTCGTTTTGGGGGAAGGCAGTGGGGTCCAGGACCCGTTTTTTTTTGGACCCTTTTTTCGAGTTGCCTATTGGCCCACCAAACAATGTTCTAAGGACCTTTTGCGGTTGCTACGAAATACTCTCAGAACATTTCTGTCTGGGACTGTCTAGTTGTATTACATCGGGTTTATGTTCTAAGAGCATTGTTTTTGCTCTTCGAACTTTTTGGGGTTCAACGAACTTGCATGCCGTGGTTGGCCTGAAGGAATGCCGGGACGGTCGGCCCCTGCTCGACCCCATGCTAACGATCGCCGACGGCGGAGTGCCGCGATCACGACCCCCCCTTGCGGGCCGTCCGCGGCTCTGCCCAGCGCCGCCCTCGTTGCGCCGTCGCGCTCAGGGGTGCGCAGGTAGCTCGGGAGGGGGGGGCTCCTGCCGGGCTCCAGCGGGCGGGCAAAGAGTGTCCACGTTCTTCGCGCCGAGACAGTGCCACGGCGAGGTGCTTCCAAACAATCGGCAGCCCCCGTACCCCCAAACCCATAGCTGACAGCGGTGCGCGCGAGGCAACGCGCGAAGGACAATCTGTATGCACTCTTCGGCTTTCGGCTTGCGGGGGAGGGGGAGGACATACTGCTAGATGATATCTTACATCACGCGATATAATTTTCGCGCCTTGGGTGTGGACACTTTTTGTCTGGCCACCGTCTCTCCGCTGCAAACCCCGCTCGCCCCCTTGGGAGGACCTCGTGGTGGGCTTCGTCGACCCGTCCTCGGGGAACTGTGGGTGGCCGCTGCGGAATCTGCTGCTGGCCCTCGCGCACCACAGGCGGCGGGGCTTGGGCTCTCCTGGTCGTGCGGGGCGTGCTCCCTGCGCTGTGCCGTGCTCCGATCTCTCTCGCATTGGAGCCGGCTGGGGGTCTGAGGTGGCCCAGCAGCAGCAAGGGCGGACAGGTTTGATGCGCTGGGGTCGGGAAGGTTTTGTTGCCTTTTTCGGCCTCCGGGGGCCGTCATCGGGTCCGGGGACCGTCAACAACGGATCCTGATTGAAAAGGTACACGAGATGGACCCGGGAGGGGTTTGGAGTGGATTTGGCTTCATCTCCCCCTCCTGACCAATGTCCCGAGGTCGCAACCAGTTCAGACCCCCTGGCCGCCTTCAAGTCGTGCATGTCTTCTATGCCGTGTGGCGAGCGGAAGGCGACAGTTTCTGTTCATACCAGTGTTGGCTGAGGGGTGCAGGGCGCATGTGTTGGCAGCATGTTGGACAAGCATGTTTCTGGGATGTGGACTTGTGTCGGCATCACGCGACAATAAGCCTAGCTTGCCAGTAGTCTTGTGCCCAGAATCCAGTTCTCGCTTCACATGGAAGTCACAACATGAAGCCGATTTCTTGACGCTTTGCATCTGCCCACCAGCCGATCCATAGACGATACCCCGGCGAGCTGTTGGGAGAAGGTAGCTGTATAAGCAGATCGTGATAGAGACCTCTTGGAGCCATCTTGGAGAGCCTTTTTAAGAGCCGCTGGGGAAATTTTGGGTCTCTATTGAAAGATCACCTCTTGGAGCCCCCTTACGACGCTCCCTGCGCTTTGGGGGCCGTCTTGGATTTTTTCTGGGCCCTCTTGGGATTTTCTTAGGCGGTCCTGGGGCCATCTTGATCTCTCCAGTCCCTCCGAGGCCTAGTTGTCGGAAGCGAAAAGGCGAGACGCAGAAACACGCTTATACGTTTCAGATTCGGGAAGGGTTTGGGGCTCGCGGGGTCTCCTTGGGAGGCTCCGTGACCACCTGGAGCCGCCTTGGGGTGTCTTGTGGCCTTCTGGAGCCGTGCTGGATATCCGATTGGACCAGCTTTGACTATCTTAGAGGCTTTCTTGAGCTGTCCGAGGCCCTCTCGGAGCCGTCTCGGGTCAATGAAGACCATGTGTCACCTCGCTAGTCACTCCGTCCGGACCCAGGGGGAAGGAGGGGAGGAAGATGTAGTTTCCCTCCGCAAGCAGGTTCGGCTATATGCTTTCACTGCTCGTTTCTATGTATGCCCCTCTCTCCCTGATCTGATTCCGTTGTCGTTTTGCTTCATGTGCAAATGCAAAAGCTGCAGACGTTGCTGCTCACCGTGGGCGCCTTTAAGCTAATTTGAAACCTTTCCTGTCGTAATGCGTTACATTGACATTGCTTTTGGCATACCGATCAGTTTGGCATCAGCAATCGGTGCAAACGACTGGTGGAATTTTCCGGACGAGGTACAAGCCACCAATTGTAGTACGCGCGTGTTGGTTCGCCGAGGCGTTTTTGGTCGTCTCCGTGTGTGATGATGTATGATTTTATCTGCGCGGTTACCGACTGTTTCATCAACATCTCCTGGACGGTTGCTTCTGTCCACAGCATTTATTTGACGTTGCAGTCGAAGAGGGAGGGATAGGGAGGCCTGGAAATCATCCAATCCTATCGTTCAGAGATCCGCACCTGGCATCGAATGGCGGGCAATGGAAGGGACATTGACTTTATTGAACCGCATGCGATGACTGGCTGGGCAAGCGTGCGTGTCATATTGAACGTCGATTCCGTTACAAGCATGCATTCAGTTCGCTCCGTGGTCTAACTCAATCACCACAGTGTTGGTCTCCCTCTCTTTCTCTATGTCTCTCTATCGTCTTTCATCTTTGTACACTATGTACTCGCAAACTCTTGAGACCTGATCTGCCAAAACGGGTTGTGATTGGTCGTGTGCGCATGGTATGTGGAAGACAGGAAAGAGGAGCATGTGGAGGCTGGTGAGGGAGGAGGGGAAGGGGGACGGGGAAACGAAAGGGGTGGAGGAGGAGGGGAGGAAGAGGGGGAAGGGGGAGGGGGGCTCAAAGTATGGAAGGCACATTCTGGGGCCGTATCTTAGTGGAGTCTTGTGTAAGGAAGCGTATGTATCTGGAGCAGCAGAGGGGAGGGGTAGGGGCAAAGGGGAGAGGGGGAGAGTGGAAGAGGGTTTGGGGTTTAGGAACGAGGGGGAGAGGGGGCAGGCGGGGAGGACGTAGACGCTGGGGGGACGGAGCGCAGGGAAGGAAGAAGAGGAGCCGAGAGGAGGAGCAAGGAGGATGAGGAGGAACGATATGAGGAGCGAGGAGGAGAGGGAGGAGGGGGAGGCGGGTAGAGGCGGAGGAGGGGTAGGAGAAGGAATGAGGGGAAGGATGAGGGGGGGAATAAGAAGGGGGGGAGGGGGAGTAGGGGAGAAGAAGGATCAAGAGGAGGAGGAGGAGGAGGAGGAGGAGGGTCAGGATCAGGATGAGGGGAGGGAGTCGAGGAAGCGCAGACATGGATTAGGGCGGCACTGATGTGATATTTCTCCCCGATCCGTGGGGCGCCCACGCGCCAGATCCGCGGATCCGTAATCCATGCCAGCGCGTGCCCGAGGGAGGAAGCTGAGGAGAAGGCTCGGGGGGATGCGGAGGATGCGGGGGAAGCGGGACGCAGAAGGAGGAGAAGGAAAGGGACGAGCAGGATGAGGAGAAGGAGGGGCGAGGAAGCGGAGGTGCTCACCCCCGGGGGGGGGGGCAGGCGCCGGGCCCATCCGCTCCCGGGTCGTCTTTGCGCACGCGGACCCGGAGGCGCTCCGGCGGCGGCCCCTCCTGCCGGTGCCAGCAGATGGAGACCGACGAATATACAGACGAGCACAGCCACGGCGGCGGTGGCGGCGGCGGCACCGGCGGCGGTGTTGTCGGCGACGACGCAAAGCGACGAGGGCGGCGGCGGCGGCGAGAGTCGCCTGGGGCGGCCCTCCCGCGGCGGTGCCATTTTTGCCGCCAGCTGGTACGCGCGTTGCCTGGGGCTGCCTTGCCTTTGGTCTGTTGTGGGGCTTCCAGCCCCTCGTCCCTTCCCACCACCAGAGCGGCTCAAAGCAGCTCCAGCCAAGTTCGCCCAGATCTTACATTCTTTGCCAGTCAACATGGGACTGCGGTTGGCTGAACCTTTACACTGGAACGGTGGATCACTCTTTAGACTAGACATGGCTGGCAAGCTGTCACACAGCACGAAGCGGGGCAGGGCGATACTGCCCAACGACACGGTTTCCAAAACAGTCCACACGATTTATCGGTGAAGGTTGTTGCCGAAGGGCGAGGCATTTGCCCCTACAGCGCAGTGTGCTGGCGCCACCCACAGAGAGACCGACTTTGCAGTGCACATCGCGAGGCTCTTGGATCACTATGCCACAGTACGAAAACAAAAACAATGCATCGCAAATAGTCGCATTGACATCATCGGCGCCTTCTACAGCGTTCTGCGCCAACTCGTCGTGGATTGGATCTGTACACCAGCGACGAGGCCATCGCCACGGTACTCCAACGACGTGCGTACATTTGGCTTGCAGAACAACTACAGTAGTCAGACTTCATGCATAACATAGGCGGCCATCCGCATCTGGCACCGGTTCTGGCAGAAGCGCATGCAGACAGTTGGCTCGCATCGGCCGATTCTAACGGCGTCGCGCATACCAGCTGCGTTTCACGACCAGGGAGGTGATGGACGTTTCGGTTTTCGACTTTCATAGTGTGTGTGATGTCCGCCCATATCCCCATTCTATCGTCTGATACCGCAACCGTATCGGCTCATGTATTGGCATTGACATACACAGTGCGCTGCTCTCCGCGCAGCGCCCAGGAGAAGGAGTAGCTAACCTCTTCCTCCTTTGCCTCTTCCTACGGAGTCTAGTATAGGATCGACCCCTCGGTCGTATCCCTATACCTTAGTGGGCCCTGGAAACGACAGGGCAATTTTTTACCGGTTCCGTTCTGCCGTTCTTTTGCCGGTTCCGACGCTGTTTCTTAACCAGTTCCGCCGCCGTGTTTTGACCGGTTCCGGCTCCGGTTCCAACCCTGGAGCCGTTTTTGTTGCCGTTCCCGTCGCCGTTTTTTTGCCGTTTCCACTTTCAAGGGACATTTTTGGGGAAATGGTGACAAAACGGCCTTGCCGTTTCCGGGGCCCACAAAGCCCTATACACAGAGGTTACCAGCCTAGTCGCTGTTGCGACTCGCGTCATCGTGGACCCATCCGCTTGGCGCTGCCCCCTCTGGGCGCAGTGCTTGCATGCGTGCGGCGTCCTCGACGGCGCGCGGTCGCGACGGCCCTGTGGAGAGGGCGAGAGAATCCGTGATACCCGTTTCCCCCCTTTTCAGGAGCGCCTCACTAGCGGCTGCACTGGGAGAACTACTACCTGATTCCCCGTTGCCGCCGCTGCGCGCGCGCGCTCACACGCCGAGGACCTCGCAACCACGGCTGGATTCGCTTCCGGCGGCGCCTGATATATCCACATCATGCGCGCCGGCGGGCACACCCGCAATTGTCCTCGGATCCACGGCTGGCTCCGCTACACCTGCCCCCTCTCCTCTTACCTTCGCTGATACGAGTGGCGTCGGCGGCAACACCCGCAGCGGTGCCGCTACGGGCTCGTCTGCAGACATCGCTTCCGCGCGCAGCCGCCGCTGGGCTAAGGTCACGTCACCCACTAACGCGTCTATATCTGAGCATGTGCGTGCCATAGAAAAATCGTATTCCGCGGACATTTCAGCGTAAGGTTCCAGATCGGTATCTGATTCGCTCTCCTACTCGGGACGCCAGCCGCAGTCCATCACATATACGCTCCCGGGATGGCTCTCAACACCGCGGCTTCGTGTCGCATGCCTTTCCCGCCACCAGTGACATGGCGGAGCCTCGGGACCAGATTGAAATTTACACGACCCAGCAGTTGTCGGGTCTGGGCGCGCAGACGGCCACCTTCAGATTAGAGTTTCAGCGCGCTCTTGCTTTGTCTGACGTTCGGATCGCTGACGATCGATTGGTAATCACTCAGGTCCAGTTTTAAGCTGATCATATAGAGTCACACCAAGGTTCCGACTCCAGCACGGTCCAGACGCTTCACGAATACTTGCTCCGCATGGATGCCCAACTTATGAGCGTCCGTGACAACGGGACTGCCGCCGTCAGGACCTTACACGACGAACTCCTGATGGCCAGACATACCCTTCCTGTGGAGGTGCATGGGCCCACGGTTCAAGAGCGACGTGAGGATGTCAACGCACTTCGTACCCAGGTCGAGATGACCACTGCCACACTACACCCCCATCATACCACAGTCACGTCTGAGTTGGACGGCAAGCTGTGTGGTGCCGAGATGGCCTTCGCTCGACGTCTTGACGCTTTTGAAGGACGTGCGCCAACGCTTGATAACCGAATCTCCACGGTCGAGCAGCAGTTACCTGAAATAAGGACTGCGCTGGCTGAGTTGCTTGTTGTGCGGACCCAGACTTCGCAGATGGGCACCCCGACTTCGGTTTACGATATCGCCCCACTCGAAGCCAGACTGGCCGAGGTACAGACGGCGGCGGGCCACGCGCAGTTTCGACTCACCCAGATCTCCCATGAAGGCGACGCCGAAAAAGGCACGGGCAGAGGAAACACTCACCCGTTTGGAATAAGAGCGCGAAGCGCACCACCGACGAATCCAGGACATAGAGCACCGGCTGGACGGGTACTCCCAGCGCACCCACGACGTTAACGGTGAGATACCTGGTGTACATCAGAGTGTTCACAATATGCAGCACGGCAACACGACCAAAAAAACTACACTGACCGCCCACGTGAGCAACGCTCAGATCCACAAGCCAACCTCCCCTCCTGACCATCGTCGCGACCGAGCATCTACACACGCCGATGGTGACATCCGCACGGGCCCTACGCGACGCACTTCCCCAGGATGGTTCGCAATAACTTTGGTAGTGCTTCTGGGCGCCCTGCCAACGCCTACGCATCCTTATGCGTTGCAGAGCGACGCAACACGACCCACGAGGACCTCCAGGACAGCGGCGACTTCGAGAGTACGACTGCAAACTCGCAGCTGGACTGACTGTTGTCCTCTACTCCGAGCCTCGTTACCGCATCAAGAACCTCACAGCTCAGGAACATAAAGCTGGCCGTATGATGAAGCGTAGACACATCTACTTGACGATATTACATTCCTACAAAGTCACTGCAGCCGACGATACAATGCACGACTTTGAACGTCTACATCTGATACGCATGCGGGACGTCGACCTCCAACGGTTTATCGCGGTTTGGGACAATCTGTTATTGGAATGCCGCGAACCACACGACACACGTATAGTCGAGTCGTTATTTCGAGCTCATATAAGACGACACCACCTGATGAAGCAGGATACGCACGACTACAACAAGATGGCTAACCAGGACCCACATAAAACATACGAGTGGTTTCGGAAACGTGTTCTCGCCAACCTCGACCTACACTGGTTTGAGCGCAACCAGCACAACTTCAATAATGAGTCAAGTCGGCACGACTCTGTGATTTGTGCAGCATGCAAATTTGGGTGGTGCTAGAATGGGGAACGGTGCAAGATGCTACATACCAGCGCTAGCAACTTAACACAAATATATCCACGACGTTCGTCTACCCACGGCAGGGACACCCGCGACAGACGACCTTTCATTGGCCGATTCTCTGGTCCACACCGGAAGGACAAGCCAAAGCAGATGTTTTGCTCCGTTTTCGCCAAGTACGGTTCCTGCCCACTCCAAGATCGTTGCACATACCCCCACATTCCTAAATGCACCTTCCATGCGGAGCCGAAGTTGACATGCAAGCATGGAACCAGCTGCCGCACTGCGCGCACTGACCCTGGCGCGAAGACTCCCGATATGAGCCCCATTCGGCCCTCCAGCCGAAACAGCCGCAATAGGACACCCTCCCCACGACATGCGGGGGGTCAGAAGCCTTCGCCCTACAAAGGCAGGCGCGACTCCCGTACATAATCCGGGGGGCACGCGCTGGTCACGACGAGGCTCGCCATCTCCACGGCGCGGGGGGCGCTCCGACTCGCGTGGTCCCGCGCCCAGGCGGCCGCGGAAAGCGCAAACTGACTGGGCGGCGGCCGGCTGCTGCGGGTGCCGGAGCACGCTGGGCTGCCTCGGGCGCTGCGACGCGGCCAGGCTGGGTGCCGGCGGCGGCGCCAGCTGGCGGGCTGGGCGAGCGTCGGGGCGCTGGTTGCTGCGCTGAGCGGCTGGTGGGCGACCGGTGGCGGCGCTGCACGACTGCTGCGCGGGGCAGCGGCGCTCGCGGCCGGGGACATCGTCATCGCGTTCGTCGCGGTGCTCTTCAGTGACGGAGTCTACAGGCCCTGGCTGGCGCGCCCCTTCCTCGCTGGGCGCGGCTACCGCTGAGCGGTGGGTCGTGCCTGGGGTGGGGGGGTTGCGCCGGCTCCCGTTCATTGTGCAACCCGCGGCAAAGGGACCGGCGGTGCGCTGCGGAGGGGGAGAAGGGAGGAGGGACGAGGGAGGAAGGAGGAGGGGGGGGGCGGCGGCGGGGAGGGGGGGTGGGGTGGGATGCGGAAGGAAAGGGGGGGAGGGGTGGGACGCGGAGGGAAAGGGGGGGGGGGGGGCGACGAGGGAGGGGGGAGAGACATGGAGGGGGGGATGAGGATGAGGATGCGGATGAGGATTATGATGAGGGGGGTGATACGGATGATAACGATGATCCTAATAATGACGAGGATGAGGAAGGCGAGGAGGAACAGGAGGACGGGGTGGAGGGATGAGGGAAGGAGGAGGAGGAGGAGGAGGAGGAGGAGGAGAAGGAGGAGGAGGAGGAGAAGGAGGAGGAGGAGAGTATAGAAGATAGATGAAGGAGGAGGAGGAGGAGGAGGAGGAGGAGGAGAAATGATGAGGAAGAGGAGGAGGAGGTGGAGGAGGAGGGGTAGACGGAGGAAGGACGGAAGCGCGAGCGGAAGCGGGACCTATTGTTCCGGCTCCTCTATCACATGTTTCTCTCCTCTGCCTCCTCCTTCTCCTCCTCCTCCTCGACCTTGTTCTGTTCCCTCCCTCCGTCCTTCCTTTCCTCCCCATCTCACTCCCTCCTCATCCTCCTCATTCGTTCTTCTTCGTCCTCCACCTCTCTCCTCCCCCTCCTCCTCAAAGAGCCTCCACAGCCCCAGCTCTGGCTCAAAAAGGTAGGTGCTCGGCAGGGGTATACTGTCGGCATCTGGACAGAGCTCCGCCAAGCTCGTGCCAATTCCTCTTCCACCTTCGTTACTCCTCATTGCACCTCCCTCCCTCCTCCTTCTCCTCCTCCTCCTCCTCCTCCTCATCATCATCATCATCATCATCATCATCATCATCATCATCATCATCATCATCCTGGTCCTCCTCCTGCTCCTCCTCCTCCTTATCATCATCTTCATCCTGATCCTCGTCCTCATCCTCATGCTCCCTCCTCCTCCCTCCTCCCTCTTCTCTTCTCTCCTCCTCCTCCTCCTCCTCCTCCTCCTCCTCCCCCTCCTCCTCCTCCTCCTCTTCCTCCTGTTTCTTCTTTTTTTCTCATCCTCATCATTATCCTTATCGTCGTAATCTTCCGTATTCCTCCCCCGCATCATCACCCTCATCCTCAACCTCATCCTCATCCCCCCCTCCGTGCTCTCCCCCCCTCCCTCGTCGGTCCCTCCCCCCCTCCCTCCGCTTCCCACCCCTCCCCCCCTCTCCCTCCGCTTCCCACCCTACCCCTCCCCGCCGCCGCCGGCGCTGCACCGAGGCCGCGCGGTTGCTGCTGGACGGCCCGCCGCCAGCAGGGGCTGCGGCGGCTGGCTGGTCGGCGCCCCGCGGGGGCGGGCGGGCGCCGCGGCCCCCGCCGCGGAGCAGGCCGCCTCGGCAGCCCGATGCGGGGGCCCGCCAGGGGCCCCTCGTTGAATGGCTTCTGGCGTCGTCGCGATGGGATCGGCACCGCCCAAACATACTGACATGCGCCTTGGCCACGCAACTGCGACTCGAAAGTCTCATGGTATAAGCTCCGTGGCGGGCGCTTTCTGACCATTTCGCGCGGGAGTCGATCTGCTACATGATTTTGTGCTGTATGTTCGGGTCGAATGTGTGTCTGCAACAGAGACATATAGTACTTGTATGTCCTCGCGCGTCCCAACGGAGGCTCTCGTGAAAGTGTGTGACGCTTTAGCTGCGACCTCGGCAACCACCGCGGACATCGACGGTCTAGGTCCGGGGATCGACGGGGGTCGGGGGTGGGTTTTTGGGGGTTGGGTTTTTTTCCGGGCCTACTGGGGCGCCGTTGGGGTGGAGGGTTTGATGGGCCGCCCAAGGCAGCGGCTCTCGCCGGTGGCCCGTCTGATGAGGCGCCGTGCAAAATTGAGGTTCGAGGTTTTAGGCCTCCTGAGGCCTTCTCTTCGCCTCGGCTGGATTCCCCGCGAAGTTCCGGCCCGAACGCACCCCTGGAGAGGTCCGGGGTTCGATTTCAAGGGGGGGCCCAGACGTCCAGGCACCGCGAAAATGACTGCGGCGGCAGATGTGTCACGTGTTATCGGCTCCCTGGGGCCGACCGCACAGAACCGGCGGGGAACAGTGTGGGCACAAGCGACGGCCCTGAGGAGAGGTTTGGAGGCCCACGGATGGAAGAGGAGGTCCGCCAGAGGTCTTGCACCGCCTGCTCCTCCTCAATCCGCCAGCCGCCGCCTGGGGACTCGGCGCTCCCGGATCAAGTCAGGACCAGTCCAGCTGGCCGTTGAAGGCACGACGACCAGGGCGTCATCCATGTCGGGCCAGGGCGTCGTCGATTTCGGGATTCGGCTGGGCCACACTGGCCGCCGATGAAGTGCACGCTACGGACGTCGGCCGTCATCACACGGCGCACGTCGTTATCAGTATCGGCGTCGTCGTCGGCGTCGTCGCCGCCACCGTCCTCGTCCCCACCGACGCCGTCGACGCCGCCGTCATCTTCTCCGCCGCCGCAGCCGTCGCCTTCCTCGTCCTCCACATCTGAAAAAAGTGCTGTTCAGACTCTGGGGCGCCCCCAGACTCTGGGGGTTGGGGGTTGCTCCGACTTTGTCTCTCGTTGTCCGACTGTGTCTCCTCGCTCATACCCCCTGCCTCCTTCTCCTGGTCCTCCTCCCTGTTTCTCTTCCTACTCCCTCTTCGCCTGCTTTTCCCAGTCCTTTTCTTCCTATTCCTCCTTTTCCTCCTCCTCCTCCTCAACCTCCTCCTCCTCCTCCTCCTCGCCCCCAGTGCGCCCAGGAGGCTTTCAAGATGGCCCCATGACGGCCCAGGAGGCCCCAAAGACGGCCCCAAGAGGCCTCTAAGACGCCCAAGATGGCCTCCAAGACGGCCCTGAAGCGCCTCAAGAGGACCCCACATCGGTTCAGACAGGCTTGCAAGACGGCTTCCGACGGCGTCAGACCCGTCAGACGGGCTAGGAACGATTTAAGACTGCCAAGGAGAGGCCCCCAAGACGCCCCCACGGCCCCCAAGAGGCCCGTAGGCGTCTTGGATCCGCCGCCCCCTGTGCTTGCCACAGGGTTGGACGGCGTGCCAGACATTTTGCTGAGATTCTGATTTTCAAACCCTTCCCAGTGGCCTTCGGCCCAGACCGCCTGCCCCTCGGAAGGACCAGAAGGTGTGGCCCACATCGCCACCAAGACGGCCCAAACGGCCCAATATGGTCACCAAGATGCCTCCAAGGCGGCTAGGATCGCTCCAAGAGAGCCCAAGACGGCTCCAATATGTCTCCAAGACGGCCCAAGATGCACCCGAGGCGTCCAAGATGGCCCCAAGATGGCCCAGGACGGCCCCAAAGGCCCCCAAGAGGCTTTTAATGCAGTCCAAGAAGCCTCCAAAGGGATCTGCAGGAAGGCCCGAAGAGGCCAAGACAGCTGATTTCCCGTGGGCTCTTGATGGATTTTGACGTTTTCGGCCTGCCGACGGCCCAATGCCGCCGAAGAGACCCCCAAGATGGCCCCAAGAGCGCCCAAGAGGCCTCCAAGACGGCCCCATGACGGCCTCCAGACGGTCCAAGAGGCCCCCAAGGCGCCTCCAAGACGGCCCACGAGAATTCCAAGGCGCCCACGATGGCCTTCAAGACGGCTCCAAAACGTCCAAGATGGCAACGATACGATTCGACATAGCCCCAGGATGTCCCAAGACAGCCACAGAGGGCCCCAAGGGCCCCAAGGGGATCCAAGGGGCCTCCTAGACAGTCTAGGAAGTCTTCAAGAGGACCTCCAGGAGAGCCCGAAATGCCCAAATGGTTGTATTTATTCCCTTCAATTGTTGAATAATTTGGGCGCGTTTTCTTTTTCGGCTGTCCGACGGCCCAAGATGTCCACAAGATGGTCCCAAGACGGCCCAAGCTGACTTCAAGATGGCCCCAAAAGGGCCCCAAAGGGCGAGGAAACAGTCCAAGAGGAAGAGCAAGAGGAAAGGACGGAATCAGAGGCCCGAAGCGGCTCCGAGAAGCCTGCAGCTCAGCGCGGGCTCGTCTGCGGACGCCCTTGCCCCCCCCAGGAAAAACATATCACCCCGAGGCCCGGTGATGTTTTGTGGGGCCGCCATCTCAAAGCCCCACGGCCAGCTTTTGGGTCGAGGAGGAGGAGGGGCAGGAGGACGAGGAGGTGATCAACAGGAACCAGAGGAGCAGGAGCAGCAGGAGGACGAGGAGTTTGAGCAAGGGGTCAAGGACGGAATGATAGGCCAGAAGCGGCTCCGAGACCAGACCGCGCTGAGCTGCAGGGTTTTCGGAGCCGCTTAAGGCCTCTCATTTCGTCCTTGTCCCCCTGCTCAACCTCCTCGTCCTCCTGCTCCTGATTCTCCTGGTTTTGCTCCTCTTCTTCCTCGACCCAAGAGCCGGCCGTGTGGCCTTGAAAGGGCGGGCCGAAAAAATGTCACCGGGGGCCGAGCTGCAGGCTTCTCGGAACCGATGCGGCCAAAAAGAGGCTGCCCTGCAGGCTGTCTCGGAGCCGCTGCGCCAAAAGAAGGACACCTTGTCGGTTTAACTACTAGGTCACTTTGTCGGCTGATTTCGGGCGCGTCGTCATCGTGGTCGTCGTTGTCATCGTCGTCGTCGTGGTCGTCGTCGTCACCACCATCGTCGTGGTCGTCGTCGTCGTCGTCGTCGTCGTCGTCGTCGTCGTCGTCGTCGTCGTCGTTGTCGTTGTCGTCGCCGTCCATAAGATGGCCCCGAGAGGGCCCTAAGAGGGCCCCAAGAGAGCCCCAAGAGGGCTCCGAGAGGGCCCCAAGAGGGCCCCAGGAGTTGTGCAACAACCCAGCGGCCGCTGGTACATAACTCCTGGGGCCCTCTTGGGGCCCTCTGAGGGCCCTCTTGGAGCCCTCCTGGGCCCCTGGTTGGCCCATGAGAGGGCTCCAAGAGGGCCCTAAGAGGGCCCCAAGAGGGCCCCAAAAGGGCCCCAAGAGGGCCCCAAGAGGGCGCCAAGAGGGCCCCTAGAAGGCCCCAGGAATTATGTACCAATCCAGCGGCCGCTGGTACATAACTCCTGAACCCTCTTGGGACCCTCTGAGGGCCCTCTCGGAGCCCTCTCGGACCCCTCTCGGACCCCTGGTTGGCCCTGTAGGGCCCCAAGAGGGCCCCAAGAGGGCCCCAAGAGTCAGAGGGCCCCAAAAGGGCCCCAAGAGGGCGCCAAGAGGGCTCCAAGAAGGCCCCAGGAATTATGTACCAACCCAGCGGCGGGTGGTACAGAACTCCTGGGGCCCTCCTCCTCCTCCTCGGCGACGACGACGACGAGGAGGTGTAAACGCACCCTTACCCAGCCCCTGCAGGACCAGGCAGCGATACTCGGACCAAATTTCCTGGCTCCTGTTTCGACCCCAGAGCTCTCGACCCCGTCCAGGAGCTCCCGACCCCAACCCGGAGCTTTCGGCCCCATCCTGGAGCTCTCGACCCGCAGACGACGGCGACGACGACGACGACGACGCCTCGACCTGGAGTGGTAAGTTTTGCTGCTGCTTTTCCCCAGGGGTTTGGAGCCCTCGGGGCCCAGGGGGGCCCCGAAACGGATCCGAAGCCTCAAATTTTTCCGGCCCGCGACCGACGACCGGCGACAACGACGACGACGACGACGACGACGACGACGACGGGCATAAGTTATTTGGCGCCCCCCCTTGGGAGCATCGGGTAACTGGGGGGTGCGCTCCACACCCCCCACTTACCCGGTGTCCCCCAGGGGACATCGGGTAACTCGACCTTGCAGGGGGGGGTGTTAGGCACGGGTTACCCGGTGGCGAGGGGGGGGCATCGGGTAACTCGACTTTGCACGGGGGGGAGTCGGGCATGAGTTACCCGGTGTCCCCTGGGGGACATCGGGTAAGCGGGGGGTGCGCTCCACACCCCCCACTTACCCGGTGTCCCCCGAGGGGCGTCGAGTAAGTCGACCTTGCAAGGGGCGCATTCGGCATTATTCAGTAAACCGGTGGACCCCCATGGGACATCGGAGTTACCCGGTGGTCCCCGTGGGACATCGGCCCGTGGGACATCGGAGTTACCCGGTGTCCCCCGGGGGACATCGGGTAACTCGACATTGCAAGGGGGGTCTGGGCATGGTTACCCGGTGGCCTCCCGTGGGACATCGGAGTTACCCGGTGTCCCCCGTGGGACATCGGAGTTACCCGGTGGTCCCCGTGGGACATCGGCCCGTGGGACATCGGAGTTACCCGGTGTCCCCCGTGGGACATCGGAGTTACCCGGTGGTCCCCGTGGGACATCGGCCCGTGGGACATCGGAGTTACCCGGTGTCCCCCGTGGGACATCGGAGTTACCCGGTGGTCCCCGTGGGACATCGGCCCGTGGGACATCGGAGTTACCCGGTGTCCCCCGGGGGACATCGGGTAACTCGACCTTGCAAGGGGGGGTCTGGGCACGATTTACCTGGTGCCCCCCCGTGGGACATCGGAGTTACCCGGTGTCCCCGTGGGACATCGGAGTTACCCGGTGGTCCCCGTGGGACATCGGCCCGTGGGACATCGGAGTTACCCGGTGTCCCCCGTGGGACGTCGGAGTTACCCGGTGGTCCCCGTGGGACATCGGCCCGTGGGACATCGGAGTTACCCGGTATCCCCCGTGGGACATCGGAGTTACCTGGTGGTCCCCGTGGGACATCGGCCCATAAGATGGCTCCAAGGGGTCCCTAAGACTGGGCTGGTACATAACTCCTAGGGCCCTGTTGGGGCCCTCTGAGTGCCCTCTTGGAGCCCTCTTGGGCCCCTGGTTAGGAGGGCCCCAAGAAGGCCCCAGGAATTATGTACCAATCCAGCGGCCGCTGGTGCATAATTCCTGGGGCCCTCTTGGGGCCCTCTGAGGGCCCTCTTGGAACCCTCTTGGGCCCCTGGTTGGCCCTAATAGGGCCCCAAGAAGGCCCCAGGAATTATGTACCAACCCAGCGGCCGCTGGTACATCACTCTTGGGGCCCTCTTGGGGCCCTCTGAGGGCCCTCTTGGAGCCCTCTTGGGGCCCGGGTTGGCCCTAAGAGGGCCCCAAGAGGGCCCCAAGAGGGCTCCAAGAGGGCCCCAGGAATTATGTACCAACCCAGCGGCCGCTGGTACATAACTCCTGAACCCTCTTGGGGCCCTCTTGGAGCCCTCTTGGGCCCCTTGTTGGCCCACATGATGGCTCCAAGAAGGCCCTAAGAGGGCCCCCAAACGGGCCCAAGAGGGGCCCAAGAGAGGCCTCAGAAACCGCTAGTAGGTGTCATCGATCAGCGCGTCTGGATGAGACCTCTCAGTGGTCTCTGGGGCGCGTCTTGGAGCCCTCTTGGGGCCCTCTGGAGCCCCCTGGGTGCTCCCAAAAAGGTTCCAAGGGACATCCGAAGGGGTGGAGGGGGAGTTGGACGGGGAGTGGAGGGGGAGGTGGAGGGGGGGCTGAGGTGGGTGGTGGAGGGGGGGGTGGAGGGGGGGTGGGGGGGTTGGTGGAGGGGGAAGGGAGAGGGAGAGGGAGAGGGGTTTGATTAGGAAACTGGAAGAGGTTTGACGACCACGACGACGACGACGACGACGATGACGACGACGACGATGACGGCGACAACCACGATGACGAGTGGGCGCCTTGGAGTTCTCGTGGGCCGTCTTGGAGGCGCCTTGGGGGCCTTTTGGACCGTCTGGAGGCCGTCGTGGGGCCGTCTTGGAGGCCTCTTGGGCGCTCTTGGGGCCATCTTGGGGGTCTCTTCGGCGGCACTGGGCCGTCGGCAGGCCGAAAACGTTAAAATCCATCAAGAGCCCACGGGAAATCAGCTGTCTTGGCCTCTTCGGGCCTTCCTGCAGGTCCCCTTGGAGGCTTCTTGGACTGCATTAAAAGCCTCTTGGGGGCCTTTGGGGCCGTCCTGGGCCATCTTGGGGCCATCTTGGAACGCCTCGGTTGCATCTTGGGCCGTCTTGGAAACATATTGGGGCCGTCTTGGGCTCTCTTGGAGCGATCCTAGCCGCCTTGGAGGCATCTTGGTGGCCATCTTGGGCCATTTGGGCCGTCTTAGTGGCGATGTGGCCACACCTTCTGGTCCTTCCGAGGGCAGGCGGTCTGGGCCGAAGGCCACTGGGAAGGGTTTGAAAATAAGAAGAGCAGCAAAATGTCTGGCACGCCGTCCACCCCTGTGGCAAGCACAGGGGGCGGCGGATCCAAGACGCCTACGGCGAATCACCGCCGCCCCCAGCCTTTTTGAGAAGCGCCTATGTGGCCAAACGTTGGGCCCCAGCTTGGCCAAGCTATCTGATTATGTATTCCCCCAGCCGCTCCGGAAACTCTTCGGGGAACACTTGGGGGAGGCTGAGGGGGAGGATCAGGAGAGGGAGGAGGAGGAGGAGGAGGAGGAGGAGGAGGAGGAGGAGGAGGAGGAGGCCTCTTGGGAGCCTCTTTGGGCACTCTTGTGGGGCCTCCTGGAGGCTTCCCGGGGGCCTCTTGGAAGCCTCTTGGGGGCCTCCTTAGGCCTCTTGGGGGCCGTGGGGGCGTCTTGGGGGCCTCTCCTTGGCCGTCTTGAAGCGTTCCTGGCCCGTCTGACGGGTCTGACGCCGTCGGAAGCCATCTTGGGGGCCTCTTTGAACCGATGTGGGGTCCTCTTGAGGCGCTTCAGGGCCGTCTTGGAGGCCATCTTGGGCGTCTTAGAGGCCTCTTGGGGAGGAGGAGGGGGAGGAGGAGGAGGAGGAGGAGGAGGAGGAAGAGGAGGAGGAAGAGGAGGGGGAGGGGGAGGAGGAGGAGCAGGAGGAGGAGGAGGAGGAGGAGGTTGAGGAGGAGGAGGAGGAGGAGGAGGAACAGGAGGAAGAGGAAGAAAAGGACCTGGAAAAGCAGGCGAAGAGGGAGTAGGAAGAGAAATAGGGAGGAGGACCAGGAGAAGGAGGCAGGGGGTAGGAGCGAGGAGACACAGTCGGACAGCGAGAGACAAAGTCGGAGCAACCCCAAACCCCCAGAGTCTGGGGGCGCCCAAGAGTCTGAGCAGCACCTTTTTCAGATCACCCCGCAGGCGAGGCCAATACAGAACGTCCCCCTAGGCTTTCCCCCCCCCACGCCCTCGACCCGCCGCCCCCCCCCCCCCCCCCCCCGGCGTCGTTGTCGGCCCCCGTCCCCCCCCCGTGGCGGCGATACAGAATTTGAAGAACAACAAACTACATAAACATAACCTCTCGACGCTCCGCGCAGATTTCTTGGATCGGCGCTGGGCCCCCCTGACGGCGCCTTCTGCAACGTCCCTGGCGCGCTCCGCTCGCCAGGGAGGGGGGTCCAGCACGGATCCTAGAAATCCGCTCGGACCTCCAAGAGATTGTGTTTATGCCGCTTGGGGTTCCTTCATGAATTTGCTTGGAGAACCACCGCCCCGTGGTTGGGGCCGCTGGTTGGTTTTGGTAGCTGGGGCTGCCCTTCGTCGTTGGTGACCGTCCCGGTGTGCCACGGTTTCGGCAGACCGCGGAGGTCTTATAGACCGGGGAGTGATGCCTGAGAGGGGGCGGGTTGTTCGAGGGTTTCCCGAGGGGGTCCAGGGGTTTTCCGAGGGGGTGCTGGGCGGAGGAAATGAGACGGAGCATGGGGATTCAAATATGCTCACGTCGTAAAAACAAAAATCAGGATGGGAGGACTTGGCAGGCTACCAGCGTCTCCTACGTCCTCCAGGAGCTGCAGACGGGCCTTTTCCCAGGACCTGTTCAGCGACCTCCCAGGCCCAGCCCGCCTCCAGAGCCAGCGCAGAGCTGCAGAAGAGATCTGCCGACTGGCCTGGACCAACTGTGGCCCAGAGAGGAGGGCGAAAGCTGGCGCGGCCAAAGAGGAAGCAGACAGACGCAGACAGATGGCGGCGGCAGGGCTGGGATGGCATCGAGTCCCAGCCCAGTCTGACGACCACGGAGGAGGCGTGGCAGGCAGGAGGGCTGTCGGCCAGCCAGCGCAGATGCAGTCAGCCGACCTGCAGGGGCGCGAGGTGACAAATGCCGAGGCCGCCAGCCGCCCTGCGCGCGCGAGCAGCGCAGGCGCAGGGCGCGCGAGGCCCGCAGCAGGGTGGCGGGCATGGCCAGGACCGCCACGGGCAGGGCTCGCCCAGAGAAAGAGGAGATTGGCCGAGCCCCCCAGGCCCAGCGCGCGCCCAGAGGTTGCAGGTTCTGCGCAGCAGGGGCGCGCGCTGGCAGGGCGGAAAGCCGAGGAGAGCGCGAAGCCGTCGATCAGGCTTCTCCTCGAGTTCGAGCTTCAGGCGTGTCGAGCACGCGACTGCCCGTTGCCTGGAGGGCGAGGCCGACCCAGGGCGAGCCCAGCTTCGGCGGGCGCAGGGCAGGTCCAGAGGGGCTGCGCTCGGGCCGGGCAGCAGCCCTCAGACTGCCAGGCGGCCGAGGCGCGGCCGAGGCGACATGGGCTGAGGCCGACGGCCGACGGCCCACGCCCCTTCGGCGCGGCGCGGCGCGGCGCGAGCGGGCGTGCCGAGACCTCCGGCACTCGCCCGTGTGCGCGCGCATGGGTGTTAAACTATTCCCCCCCCTCCTCTTCCTCCTCCCCCTTCTCCTCCCTCTCCTGCGCCTCCTCCTCCTGAACCGATCTCCAGATGCATATCTTTGTAGCGGTCTGCACAGGAGAGGGCCGTCCGTCACCATCCTGGCTTAAGTTGATCACGCGCCCGAGCCTTTCCGTCTCGGCCGCAATAGCCTGGCTGGTAGCGTGGGCCACGCGCGCGGGAGTGGATCGGGCGCGGCGTGCGCAGGTGGCGGCCAGCCCTCGCTGTGCCGACCTCCGCTGCTCGGAGCCGCCCGCGTGCCCGTCCCTGGCGTGCTGCCCCGCGGCCGCGGCGGCGCACTGCCCCTCGCTCAGCTGCCCAGAGCCCGCGCGGGGGCCGCGGGCCGCTGGGGCTGAGGCCTGTCCGCCTGGAGGCGCCGCCGAGGCGCCGGCCCCCGCGCCCGCCGAGGAGGTCCCCGAGGCTCCCTCGGCCGCGCGAGGCGGGAGCTGGCCAGTGCTCGGGTGGGTGCAGAACTTGTGCCTCGAGCTGCTCGGAGGCGCTGTGGGTGTGATCGTGCGCGCGCTGTTGCTCGCGGTGCTATTCTCAGTCTGCGCGTGCTGGCGGACGCTCCTGGCGGTGGCAAGGCCCGCGGCTCTTGCTCTGAGCGACTACGAGACGTGCGTCGGCACCGACGCCGACGTCGCTGCTGTCCATTGGAGCGAGAGCCGACGCCCTCCACCTCCCGGGCGCCCATCGGGACTCGCACAGGTTCAGGAGGGAGCTGGCGCCCGCCGAGCTGCAGGAGTTCCAGAGGCTCGCGAGGATCGCGGCGCGGGATGAGGTCGTGCTTCGCGACCGCCGTGTCGGAGGGCCTGGGGTGGAGCCCGCTGGAGGTGCCCTGCTGCCGCCGCTGGCCGATCCAGGGCGCCCGCCGTTGGCCGCGCCGCGTTTCCCTGGGCAGGGGGGCGGTGCTGCTCGAGCGGTGGGAGGTGGAGATCAGCTAGGGGCTGGAGGCCGTCCTGGTGCGCTCGGCGGGGCCCCCGCCGCTGGAGGCGCTGCTGGGGCCGCTCCGGCGGCCGCCGCGGCTGCGGGCGTAGCTCCGCCTCCGGCGCCGCCTCGCCCCGAGGAGCTCGCGCGGGTCGTGGCGGAGAGCGCCCGCGGGCTCGAGCGGGGCATGGCGATGTTCCCTAGCGCGGGGATGCCCTCCCTCGGCGACGCTGGCCTCTACCAGGTGCCTGGCGTGCGCCGGGGCCGCGCGGGCCTGCCATCGCACTGCTGAGGAGGGCGCCCTCTCGCGAGGTAGAGGCCTACGTGCGCGGCGAGACGGTAGCCGGCGCCCGCGCCGCGCCGATCGAGCTCGCGGGGGATCGGAGGCAGCGCCGCCCATGGCTCCAGGTGATCAAGCAGGGGGTCGTGACGCCGTTCATCGACTGGCCCGTGCAGGGCCCGAGGACCGTGGAGTGGGTGATGGGGTTCCTTGGTCGTCTGGGAGGCGGGCCTGGGGATCTCCATGCGCGGCGGCGGCAGCTCAGTCGTCTCCAGCGCGGCGATTGGGAATTCGAGGTGCTGAGAGCGGGCTTCGAGCCTTGGAGATGGCCGCCAGCTACGATGCGCTCGAGGTGGCGAACTGCGCCTGCCTGGAGATCGCCGCGTCGCGCCGCGCGCCTGCCGGGAGCGCCAGCTGGTCGAGCGCGCGCGCCCCTGCGAGCCTGCGAGCGGCCATGCCGCAGCCGACGAGAAGGACGGGAAGGACAAGAACAATCGGGGCAACTGCCGCGGGCAAGCTGGACTCTTGGTTGAGCGATGTGTGCCTGGTGCGCCACCGCGAGGCTGGGGGGGTGCATGGTTTCCCCAGACTCGTTTGGATTTCGTCGCCCACGAGGTCGAGAGGGATGCGAGTGCATTGAGGAAAGTTCGGGATGCGCGGGAAGAGCGCCGCGCCACGGGCAATGCAGCATGAGAGACACCCGTCGGGTCATGGGTCCGGGCCCGACGGAAACCACAGGGCCGAATTCGCCCGCCAGTCTGTAGTTCCCCGCTGGCGACAGGGGCTACATCCACCCTGTCATCGCTGCGCTGCCGATGGGCTGGGCGCTGGCCTTGCAGGCGCACCAGGCGCTAAACGAAGAGCTCGCCCGCCGCGAGCCCGACGCGCCCCTCGAGAACGCCCTCGTGCATGGCAGGCCGCCGCCAGGGCCCACGCCCATCGCCCGCGCGGAGTGCGCCGACAACTTCGCGTGATTCGGCAGGGACCGCTCCGCGGTGGAGGGCGCGGTGACACGTGTCCGCGGGCGCCTGGTGGCCGCTGGGCTGCCGATGCATGAGGTGGACATCAGCCGGGGCGGCGACGTGCTGGGCTGGCACTTCACCGAGCAGGGCCGCTGCTCCATGTCCTTGCGCAGCGCCTGGCGGCTCCGCCTGGCGCTCCTGCGCGTGGCCAGCCTGGGGGGTGCCAGCGGGCGAGAGGTCTCGGCGCTCCCCGGGCACTTCGCGACGCGGGGCCCCATTCGGAGGGAGGTGCTTGCGGCCCCGCAGGCGCGCTTCGCCATCGCCCAGCAGTTTCGAAAACATCGTTTCTCGTTACGGCCGTCTGTTATACGTGAGCTTCGCTGGATGGCCACCCTCATGTTCGTTCGTGACGTCTCGGGAGCTGAATGCGACTTGAGGCCCCAGGGTCCACGCGTTCGACGCGTCGTCATGGGGTTTTGAGGTGATGGGCAAAATGTTAGACGATGACGACGTTAAGATGTTGGGGTCCTACAGCGACCGGTGGAGGATTGCAATACAAGATGAGCATGATCAGTTTCACGATCCTCGGGGAGATCAATTTCGGGGTGATAGGATGAGGGGCTCGATCAGGTTCCACTTGTTCCTGAACGTGTGTGGGGTGGTCGTTGGTGTAGACTGGCCTCGTTCAGGTGGGCCTCTGGAGATCACCATGTGCATCTGGTTCTGCCCTGGGCTCTGAATCACCTGGCCAGGACCTCAGCTGCTCATGGGAAACGTCACCTGGTCCTCGGAGATGCCATGACCGTAATCTTGCCTCGGACCAAATAGCGCGGGGGCTCGTTTGGCCTCTGTCGTGCAATTCGACGCTCGGCCGCGCTAGTGCTGGGCGCGAACCTGCATCCCGCGTGGCGATGGGTGCCCTCCGAGAGGGGCGCCGCTCACGCGGCCTCGCGAGGCCGCCTCTGTCAACGCGCCTCCCCCTGGGAGCCTGGGGCCGCTGCGGGCGCTCAGCACGCTGGCGCGGGGCGCCGGGGCGCGTCGGGCGGGGGCCGACTCCCGCTCGGACAGCCGCCCGACCTCCTGCCGGAGCGTTTTCCGCGGGGACTGCAGCGACGGCGATCGAGGTGAACTTGCCGACGCGCCACAGTTCCACGAACGCCTTCCCGGGGAGCGGGCAGCGAAGGCCGCGGGCCAAGCGCGAGCCCCGCCCGATCTGCGAGGTCGGCGTCAGCCGCGAGGCTCGCGCGGCCGGGGGGCGCGCCGCTCGCCCGCCCCCAGTGGCTCGCCCCAGGGCGGTTCGGGCAGGCCGCGCGTTGCTGGAGCGCCGCTCGGTGTCAGCGCGGCAAGAGCCGGAGTGTCACGACCAGCGCCGGCGGTTCGTGGCCTGGGCTCGAGAGCAGGGACTGCGACATTAACGCGTCGCGGACCTGGAGGTGGCGGCGGTGGGGATGCTCAACCAGATGTACTACGACGGTTGGAGGTCCAACACGGCGTCGAAGATGGTGGTTGCGATCGCGTATCGCCGTCTTGTGGCTGGCCCTGGGTGTGTCAACCTGGCTCGGGCGCAGGTGGCCCGCCGGGGCTTTGCGAAGCTGGGCTCGCCGTGGGCGCGCCTGCCGCTGCCGTGGGCTGCTGCCTGCTTGGTTGCGGAGCGCCTCGTGGAGGTGGGGAGCTGGCGCGTGGGCGCCGCCGTCGTCTTCGCCTTCATCCACTACATGAGGTCGCGCGAGGCGCCGAGGATCAGGGGGTGCGATCTGGCGCCGCCAGCTGACGGCTGTCGCCGCTCAGCCTTGAGGTGGAGTTTGGTCCTTCGCCCACAGCGGCTGATGATCACCTCGAAGACAGGCGCTGGGGGCGAGAGCATCGTCGTGGACAATGCTCAAGTCTTCCCGTTCGTCGAGTCGTTGGTGAGGCGGCTCCGCGGGAGCGGCGGCAAGGCTCTGGTGTTCCCGTTTAGCTACCGCGAGTAGGCGGCGAGCTTCGAGAGCGCCGCCAAGGCCGTGGGCCTTCAGGGGGAGGCAGCGCCGGCGCTGCACATGCTGAGGCACGGCGGGGCTTCGCACGACGCGCCCGTCGGAGCGCGAGACCTGCGCGGCATCCAGGACGGCGGGCGCTGGCCCACCAAGAGGTCGGTGGTGAGGTGCGAGAAGGGCGGCAGGGCGAACCAAGCTTCTGCAGGAAGAGCGAAGAGCCCTGCAGGAATCTTCTATACCAAGCTTGCCGAGGCTTGCCCTCGGAAGCTGCGCCAGAGGTGTGTCGGATGTTTCGAGCGTGCGTTCCGCGACCAGCATCGCCGTATGATCCGATCCTATATCCAGTAGTCTGGTGCTGATCCACGGGGCTTCCTCTCGGGCCCTGGGGTCGTGCTCCTCGGGTCTGTTTGTTGTTGCTCGGCCGCAAAAGTCGGCCAAGGACTGAGTGTGTCGTCTGCTGGGTTGTGGATCCGTGTGTGTGTGTGTGTGCCGCGTGGGTTTCAAACTCGCTTTTGGATCTTCGGGGCGCTCCGAATGTTGTACAGAACGCGAGCAACTTACACAAACATGTCCGTGCCCCTCGGCAGCGATGCAGCGAAGAAGATCAACCGATCTTCAGATGAACATCTTTGTAGCAGTCTGCGCAGGAGAGGGCCGTCCGTCACCTGAAGTTCCCTGTTCTGTTTTCCTCCCTCCCCACCTTAACCAGCAGGATCCGTGTGTGTGTGTGCCGCGTGTGTATCAAACTCGTTTGGGGATCTTCGGGGCGCCCCGCATGTGGTACAGAACGCGAGCAACTTACACAAAAATATCCGTGGCCCTCGGCAGCGATGCAGTGAAGAAGATCCTCCTCCTCCTCCTCCTCTTCCTCCTCCTCCTCCTCCTGGTCGTAGTCGTGGTGTGGTCGTGATCTTCCATTAACCTTGGTCGTATGTAGCCGTAGTCGTATCGTGGTCGTAGTCGTCGTCGTCGTCGTCGTCGTCGTCGTCGTTGTTGTGCGGCGGGTGCCGCGGATACGTAATGATGTTCCACAGTTGGTGAGACTCTAGTCCGTCAATAAGGTCGCCGAACAGACTTAAGCTTCGTATACTAGGGGGTTCTAAAAACTTATGTGTGGTCACAGCCAAGTCGTAAGGACCGCGTGGACGTTGCATTGGTACTTCGACATGCGTATGGCCAGACGCTCAGTGATTGAAGGGGGCGTGTTCCGATCATCTCGATGTTGAAATTTGCCACCGAGGCGTGATATAATTGAGGTTTTTACTATTGAGCCACATCGCAGATGGTAGCCGTTTCTTTGCGATGACCCATCCGTGCCCATTTTGGCTCAAGGCGTTCGGGCCCAAACCGCCCCGGGCCGAAGGGCCGCTTCGCAGCGCGACGGCGGCTGCCACGCCGCGCCCCCTTGCGCACGGCCCCGAGCCCGCGCCGAGGCTCGGGGCTTCGGCGCCGGGCGGCTTCGAGCAGAGCGAGGCCGCGCTGCGGAGCCTGGTGGCGGCCAGCGTGAGGCCGCTGCTGCGGGAGCAGGAGCAGAGCCTGCTCAGCTCCATCCAGATCTTGATCGAGCAGTCGCTGGCACACCTCAGCCTGCAGATCGGCCCAGAGGTGGCCCCGGCAGTCCCGGCCTCCAGGGCCGACGCTGCGTCCCGAGAGGCCCCGTCGCAGAAAGGCGCCGTTGGTGGACTCGCGCCCTCCAAGCCCACCCCCTCGCGGGTGAGGTCATTGGAGGCTGCTAGGGTGAGGGAGCTCTTGTCCAGCTTGGCCAAGGAGAACACAGCCAGAGAGAACTTCGGCTGCAAGGACGTCCGGGGTGCCGCTCACTACTCCAAGTTCCTGAGCGTGCCGCCATCGCTGCCGTCGGCTACCGTCGCCTCGGAGTGCCTTTGTACCGCCTGCGACCGTGAAGAGGTCCCGAGGTCCAGCACAGAGTCGGACATCAGCCAGCTCGCCTGTGGAAGCATCAGCGCAGTGAGCTCCAAGGAGCCCCCCGACTCGGAGAGGCGGCCTTGCGGGCAGCAGGCGCAGACGTCCGAGCCCCACCAGGCCGTCTGCCCCGCGGCGGCCTGGCGGGCCGCCCGCGGCGCGCCCGGCGGCGGCGCAGCGCGGGCCGCCACGGGCGGCGGCGCGGAGGGCACTGCCTGCGGCGCGGGCCTCGGCAGCTGCGGCAGCCGGCGGGTCCGGGTGCGCCTGAGCGGCCACGAGATGAGCCGCGGGTCGCGGCTGGGCGTCGAGCTGGGCGAGAGCGTCGCCCGGGGCCTCGTCGTGACCTCCATCAGCGACAACGGGCTCGTGGCCGCCTGGAACGCCCAGCACGCCGGCCAGGAGGTGCGCGTCGGCGACGCGGTCGTCAGCGTCAACGAGCGGACCAGCGGCCTCTCCGAGTACCTGCGCAGCCTGGCCGGGCAGCAGGGGCCGCTCGACGTGGTCTTCGAGGGCTGGGGCCTGGGCGAGCCACCAGCGGTCGGCCGCGCGCGGGAGAGCCTCGCGGCTGCCGCGCCGGGCCCCGGCGCCCTCCCCAACGCGTCCGCGAGCGTGGCGCTGGACGGCGGGCGGCCTTCTCACAACGAGGATGCGCGCCGCCCCCCTCGGCGCAGGAGCAGGTCGGGGAGGACGACCCAGGATGCCGCCGTGCACGCGGACCTGGACGAGCTGGACTTCAGCACAGCGCTGACGCCGACTGGCTCGTGGAGTGTCACTGCGCTTGGACAGTGGAGCTCGGGCAGCAGGGAGCCCTCGGCGACGCAGAGGGTCCGGCACGAGCGCGAGACACGGCTCGTGGAAGCGGTCGTGCAGCGCCCGAGCGGACCTCATGTGCACACGGCCGCGTATGCGGCCTCATGCGATGGTGCTGCTGAAAGCAGCATGAGCGGGCCGCTGGCACCGGCCTCGCCACTCATGCGGGGTGCGATGCCCCCGTGCTGGTCTGTCTTGTGGGCCACCTGCCGATTATGTGCGCTTTGGTCCCTCGCCACCATCGTGTGCTTTTTCGGCTTCGCCGCTGTCTACATCCAGCTCGGGCAAGGCGGGGCCATCGCCAGCGCAGGCTATGGCCGGGTCTCCGACTTGGCTCTCGCCATCGGCAGTTTCTTGGGGTTGCTGAAGCTGCGCGCCCTGGAGACCTCGGGCATCCTGGGCGGCTCCGAGGCCCTGCTGGTTGCCTATGCTCTCCGCCAGGAGGTTACCGACGCGTGGGCTAGGGCCGTGCGGAGGAACAGCCAGCGCCTGTGCCTGGTCTGGGTCTGCAGCGCCCTCCTGCGGGGCCTCGCGCTGTGGGAGGCATCGAAGTGCTTCCCGGCCTCGCCCATGGAGAAGGCGTCCGCTGGCCTCTTCGTGGTGGCGAGCTTCGCGTTCGTCCTCGTGGTGAACTGCGTCATGGGCGTGTGCTGTGCTCTCACAGAGGTCATCGACACCTACGTCGTTCACCTCGACCAGGAGTACTTCTTGCTGGACTCCAGCGTGTTCGAGTGGAACTTGCTGCAGGCCGTCCTGCGCCAGGCGTCGGGGGCGACGGAGAAGACCTTCCTCGTCATCATCAGCACGGCTCTGGCGCTGAGCACGGTCGTGGCGCTGGCGGCACCTGGTTTGGAAAATGAGCACAGCATCATCATGGGAGAGGCGGCGTGGATGTCGTCTGTCTTGCTGCTGGTGGGGGGCGCGATGCTCACATTCTTCAAGGCCGCGGAAGTCTCGGAGAGGTGCATGCGAATTCCAGCCCTGATCAATTCGCTGAATTTCGGGAAGCCCGTCGACATCCGAAGGCACTACCTGGTGGAGTTCATAAGCTACAGCGCCGCAGGCTTCTACGTGGGCGAGGTGCGCCTCACGTCCGCGATGGCACTGAAGCTCACCTACCTCGGCTGCCTGCTCATATTCGCCACAATCAGCCATCTGATCAACACGAGGGAGTTGGACCCGTGAGGCGGCGGGGAGAGATTTTGGAGCCCTGGATGTCCGCCTCAACGGATGCTGCTGTTGCCGCTGTTATTTGGCGCCCCCCCCGTAACACCCACGGGCTTGGATCAGAAAAAACATGTGTGTTTGTTCAGCCCCTGTCAATTTCTCATGGGCGGCATGCTGAAGGCATCCGTTTCCGTGCACATTTTCACCCCATTGCTCACGCGCTGTGGCCGACGTAAGGCTTCTGGTCTGGACTGTCGCTGTTATAAGACGGCGGAAATCAACGAGGCAGACCAGTCAAGACAGTTCAGCAGTTGGGTTTCCGATCCCAAGGTCCCAATTTTCATTGGCGCTGGTGAGATTTATTTGGAGCAGGGGATGATGGAGGATGAGGGGCTAGAGGAGCAGAGCCCTGGGGGCCGCCCTCAAAGCGAGAGTTGCAGAGCCATTCTTCGTGGCGATCCAGACGAGTCAACTTTGAAAGAACTGCCACCGGCTCTATTTTAGGAGCGCGCTGGGCAGACGGAGCTTGCTGTCTGCTTGCGCCACGTGGCCAGAGCTTCTCGGTCCGAGTTACGTGCCGCTGGTCGTGCGATAGTGAGGCTCGGGCGGCGGCGTTAAGGACTTTGAAACATTATTCGAAGCAGTCGCGTTTTTTGCGACGCCCTTGCTTTCCAATCTTCTACAAGAAGCTTCCACGCGCTTGTTCAAGGCGTTGCAGTACAGAACAACCCGATGGACAATCTGTCGTGTCGGCGCGCTCACCGATCCTTGGCTGGCGTGTGCGCTGCTTCCTCTGCCCCCTGCTGGCCTTCACTGCGAGAGCGCGCGGTAAAGGAAGTTCGCAGAGTCATGCGGCCTCTGTTAGCTCGTCTCTACCAGGCAGAGTCTCGCCTGGAGTTCCTATAGGCCCTGGCTGCCAGGCACTGGGCACCGCGGCCGCGCGGCGTGGAGCGCCTACATGCTCGGGGGCGGCGCGTCTCAACGTGAGGCTGGGCCGCTGCCGCTCTTGAGTTCGCGGAGCCTGCTGGGCGGCACCGCCGTGCAGCGCCCCCGCCTCCTCCTCCTCCTCCTCCTCCTCCTCCTCCTCCTCCTCCTGCTCCTGCTCCTCCCAGTGGCGATGGTGGTGGTGCAGACGGTGGCGATGAGAGAAAGAGAAGGAGGAGGAGGAGGAGGAGGAGGGGGAGGAGCATCTACGGCGACATACCGCTCAACAAGTGTCGCGGCTCGTTGTGGCTCGATGCCGAGGACGACCTTCACGCGAAAAGCCCAGTTTAATCATCGTGCCGCCTATTAGTTTGCCTGGCTCGTTGGGTCTAGCCTCGTCGAAGAACTGGCCGCCGATGGTCCGTGGCATGATCCAAATACGGAGCCCCCTGTAGAGAGCGTCTGGCATAGCTATTTGTTCGCGGACTCGGTGTCCGAATTTGCGGCCTCCGTTCTTGCGTGCTCGATGCACAATTACACCGTATTGTTCCCCATGTCGTGTCATTCACGCAGCGCTGTTCAGAGACCCTGATCGTGCTTAGGGGAATGTACCTGCAAGCTACACAGAGCACACCCTCAAGTCAGAATTCACCTCCATCTGAATCCTGCTAGATTGCACAATCCTTGATTTGTGAGTGATGCTGTCCAGAGGTGGGAGAGATCTTGACCCGTGCGTTACCCGGTCTCCTTTCCGCACTCTCCCTTCACACACATCATCTGTCCGAATCTCCAGCGCCGTGTAGCGGTGGGCTCGGCAGCGCGGAGCGCGTCTGCCCGCAGGACAGGGATGTCCATGGCGTGAGATCGCCGCTTCGTTTGCTGCGGCCGCCTGGCCATCCTCTCCTCCTCCTCCTCCTCCTCCGCCTCCTCCTCCTCCTCATCCTCCTCAACCATCCGCCTCCCAGTCCTCGCCCGCCTTCTGCTTCCCCTCGTTTTGCTCTGTCCCGCCCCTGGGCGCTTTCGTAGCTCCCACAGGCGCGGGCTCGTCGCGGGACACATTCCGAGAACAATTCGGGCGTTTTATGAGACGAGTGGTTCGCCGTCGGGCTCTACAGAAGAGGTTAGAGGTCGAACCAAGTGCGCGCCTGCTTCCACATCGCAGAGCCCTTTGAGCTCGAAGCAGGCGTGCTCCTCAAGGAAGCAGTATGTGCGCTGGTGCTGGATATTATTGCTGAAGACATGTCACTTGCAAGCTGATTCGGGTTGTCCTCGAGGTTAAGGAAAACATGTCGCGATGACTCACGGGTTGGACGGTCCCTGCGGGATGGAGTCATTCTCGTGCGTTGTTCCAAAGTTGATGTATGAGCGCCTATCCCTTGGGGGCAAACGTGGAGCTTGCATCACTCGATCGGTGTCTCGCACGTGGCAGGTTATTTATATGCTGCATGTGTGCGTGTGCCTGTCTAGTCGTGTTGGGGACTCGTTTCGAGTGATTGGAGCAGAAACGCACAGGTCCAAGATCCAGACCATGGATCTGACGGTGTTCCTTGATAAGAGGATGACGCGGGTCGGGTTGTCTTCTTCTTTTCTCCATGCGATCGCGGCTCCATCTGTGCATGTGTAATTGCACACCTCTTCCCTGCTCTCCCCGTTGCTCCCCACTCCACCGCACTCCTCTGGACAACCCCGCAGCCATCCCGCTTCTCCCCTTTCACTCGTGCCCGATTCCCCTCGGCACTGCTTACTTTTCCAGCCCCCTTCCCATTTACCTGCCTCCACCCTGCCCACCCCGCTCCTCCCCAGTCCCCCCTCCCACCCCCCATTCGGTGTTCCTGTCTTTTCCATCTCATGCCCCCGCTCTCTCTCCTCTGGCTGCGGATTGCTGCGGACCCTACAACACTTGTAGCATGGCGTCATTGCTGGCGGCCTTGGTTCACGCCTTACTGGCATCTGTGCAGCTTGAGTGCACGCAGCATCCACTCATGTGGACCGTACGTGCGCGGCACCTTGTGCGTGCGCGGAGCGCGGTATCGGCTCGACCGACCGCGGATGCGACACTGCCTACATCATGTTTGCAGGCATGGCATTCCAACACGCGCGCAGTGCAGTTGGCTTGGATGACCTTGTCAGTGTATAGCGTGCGCACTGGCGTACACATGCGAGATCATCTTGAATCTGCATCGGAGGATGTGTTTGACATGCGAATTCATCTCGCATGGGCGTGGCATTCGAGACCATCTTGCATTGGCGCCAAGGTGGTTCACATGGAGCCTCAGGGTGCACCGCCAGCCCGCGCCACGCGCGCCGCACATCGTTGAAGAAAGATGCCTTCCGGCCCATCTGCCTCGCCCTCCTTCCTTGTTCTCGTCCTCGTCGTTGCTGTTGGGCCTCCGTCGGCCTCTGGAGGCCTCCAGAGGCTTCGGGGGACCTCTGGAGGTCTCCACTCGGCGGGTGCAGCGCTCTCGCCCTCCTGCACGGGGAACGCCTGGCCGCGGTTGTACGAGCCCGCGGTGAAGTCGTCGCGAGGCCAGTCCCCGCACCCCCTTCGCCGACCAATGACGCCCGCGGCGGCCATCCCGCAAAGCATCGACGTCAAGGAGGAGGGGGAGGAGGAGGAGGAGGGGGAGGAGGAGGAGGAGGAGGAGGAGGAGGAGGAGGAGGAGGAGAAGGAGAGGGTGACGGTCCCTTCGGCGCCACAGGCGCGTTGAGACACGTGGAGGCAGTGGCTTTTGGTGGAGGAACCAGAAGAGCGAACGCGTATACACATGACCTGTGGCCGCGACAGTGGGCGATACAAGGGCGTGGGGCCGAGGCGGGTGAGGGTGAGAGGGGTCGGTGGCGGATGGAGCAAGGGAAAACAGTTGAGGAAATCAGGGGCAGCGAGCGATACGCCGGGGGCGCAGAGCGAGGAAGATCGCCGCGGACGCGGTGGATCTGAACGTCAAGCTCATGAAGTGGCGCATGTTGCCAGAGCTGGAGCCAGAGAAGATGAGGCGAGCCTTTGCTCAAACGCCCGCCGCGGCCTGCCTTCCGTACTGCGTGCACGCTGTTCTGAAAGCCATCAGCTCATGCCGCTCATCAAGGCGCTTCGATCTTTCGCAGCATCTTCAGGCGAATGAGCTTTCCCTGGTCATGTGCTCCCGAGTTGGCGCGTTCCGAATTTCATCCTGGCTGTCCGCGCAATTCGCCCTTTCGCAGAGAATACTGAGCTTAGAAAGAATCAGGCACCTGCTGCCGTCGGAGTTCCAGCCCACACGAGCCCCATCCCATTTCCAGTCCTACGTCATTCCTCCTCCTCCTCCTCCTCCTCCTCCGCCTCCTCCTCCTCCTCCTCCTCGTCCATGTTGCAAGTCTTCGGCCAGTTAGCGGAGGGAGGCATCCACACGCCAAGCGACAGACGCTTCCGCCGCCGCCGACGCTGATCCTGCTACTGCTCGGACCCCGCTGCGCCCCCATCTCGGAAATTTGGGGCTGGTCGCCATCCCGCCTCCGAAGCCGTTGTGTCCCTTTAATTCCCCTCACGCCCCCCCTCTCCGCCTCCCCATCCTGCGCCTCCCCCTCTGTCCTCCCTTCGCTTCCCCCTCCCTTTCCGCCCTCCCCAGCTTTCATGCTCATGCTCCTGCTCATCCGCTCATCTTCCTCCTGCTCCTCCTCTTCCTCCTCCATATCCCTCTCCTGATGCTCCTGCTCCTCTTGCTCCTCTCCCCCACTCCCGTTTCCCACCTTTCCCCCCAGACTTTGAGACACAGCTTGATACTGGGTGCGCCGCTGTTTCCCACGGCTTGTATACATTTGATTATGGCGAGTCGCGGTATTGCACTGCCTCGTCTTCTTCCTCCCTCGCCTCCTCTTCCCTCTTCATCCTGGAGTGTCTGTCGGCCTTTGTTTTAACACACGTCAGCCCCGTGGTTGGATCACCTCAGGCACGCATGTTGTTCAGGAGCTGTTCGTGTCCGCGAGGGAAGGATCCATCCTTGCCTTTCGTTTTGGTATGTTCCTCCTTCGTCTGCTCCTCATCTCCTTGCTCTTCCTCCCCTCTGTCCTTGTTCCTGATCCGACCGCCCTCCTCGAGGCTCTTGCCCTTACTAGAGAGATCGATGGTGCGCGGCCCCGTCGCTGAGACCAGCCGGCGCACCCCGTGAGTTGATCTCTCCATGCTGCCGCCCCCCCCCGTTCACTCATCGTCTCTTCCAGTCATCTCTCTCTCCCCCCTTGCCCCTCCCCTGCCTGTCCTTCCCCCATTCTCTGTCCCCTCTTCTACTCCACATCCCTCCCTCCCTTCTTCCTCTCTGCATTACGGCCCTCCCTTCTCTCGCCTCCATCCTTCTTGTTTTCTTCCTAATTCCCCCTCCCCGTCCCACGCCCCCTCCTCCCCCTCCCACTCTGTCCGCTACCCCGCTCCCTACATGTCCCCTCTTGAACCTGAGGTCTCTCAGCGTGCTGCTCCTCGGCTCTGGGACACTGGGCTGCAGCGTCGCCCGGACGCTCATGGCCTGGGGCGTGCGGAAGATGACATTCCTGGAGCGCGGCCCTGGGATTCCGGAGAAGACGGGAGGAAAGGGAAGGGAACTGCGCAGGAGGGTAGAGAAAGGCTGGGAGGGGGGGAATGGAGGAGGGAGCACGGGGCAGGAGAGGGCGGGACGGAAGAGGGAACATGGGGCAGGAGAGAGGAGCGAGGAAAGATTCAGGAAAGGGAGCGGCTTTCATCGCAGCCCGGTACACATCCCCTCCTGGCGCGCTATTGGAGCGCTCTTGGGTGCATTTCGGATTGTCTTGGAGCTCTTTTGAAACCATTTTGTGGCTCTCTTGAGTGATATTGAAACCGTCTTGAAGGCCTCAGAGGCTGGTCGGCAGCGAAAAGGCGAGATGGGAAACACAAGCGACGAGCCGTTTGCGGATGAAGGATGTTCGCCTTCTCGGCGGCATCTTTGGGAGTCTCCGTGGCCATCGCGGGCCGTCTTGTGGCGGTCCTGGAGCCTTCTTGAAACATGTTGGATACCATTTGGGGCTATGACATGCTACTTTGTAAGCCACGTTGGCGTACTTGGAGCTTCCTTTGAACCATTCAATGCCAAAGCGGACCCTCAGACACCTCGCGGCCCCCCGACAGTCCAGACCAAGGGGAGGGGGTAAGATGACGGGTGAACGGTAAGCTCATCCCCGAAGAGGAGGAAGGGGATCGGAAGAGCTACCATTTTAATGTGGATCTGAGGCAAGGGGTTGAGCAGATGATGGCTGTCATAAAGAATTCTGGAACAGCTGAGTTTTTTTCTGCTGGTTCTGGCATGTGGCAATGATTATGTTTGGGATGTTACGGAGCAGGCCAAGCAACATGTAAGTTCAACCGTGTTCGTTTTGATTGGCGTGATTTTTTTTCGAACTTGAGTGTTAACATTGCTGCGTGCTGAGAATTTCATGTATTGGTGTTTAGCGTTGACATTCGTTTGAAACTTGCCTTCACTTCGTTGTACTAAAACCAGTTGGCTTTAAAGCTTGAACTCCCACCAATATGACTTAGAGCTTTTTGAAATGCCCTTGGACTGTATTTAAAAGTTAGGTTGGCATTCGTAGTTTCCAGCCAACTTGTTTGAATGTTATGCGTGGGGGTGTTTTTGTGTTGTTCATTGTTTAGAACGGAAGACCTGCTCAACCTCTTGCCTCAAGTTGCACGTTGCAAAGCTAAGCAGGCACTCTCTCCCGCAGAGCTGGTGGGACTAAGCTTCTCCTCGGCTCCATCCCCACCTTCACAGCCTGTCGGCCTCCACAAGAGGTGCCAGCGAATGTCGGAGCTCCTCGCGCCTGCTCTCATGCTCCTTCCCTCGTCCTGTTCGGCTCTGTCCCGGCCCACGTCGTCCCGTCCCACTGCGTCTCTGGGCGCTCCGTCTCAGCCCACTTTGTTCTGCCCTGCAATGATGGTGCTCCTGGCTGTGCTAGTGGTGCGTCGGGGTGCGCTCATGTGCGCACCCCTCCTCCCCCGTCGCTCGCCTCGCCGAACCACTGAGGACAACGGCAGGGTCTCGCTCTCGAACCCGGTGCGCCAGAGCCTCTTTACCCACGCGGACGCAGCTGCCAGCCGGCCGAAGGCCTGTCCTCCCTCCTGCTCCTCCTCCTCAGGCGTCCTCCGTTGTTTAGCAAATCGGGGCGGCCAGTAGTTCCCATGCCTGGGCGTCCTGAGGACCGTTGCGGGCCTTGGCGTCGTCGATCACGGCCGTCCCGGGGACGGGGCAGAGAGGTTCAGGGGGGCCACGCATTGAACAGGTCATGGCCGGGGTGGTCTGGTTCCCGTTGTTTCCGTTCCTGTCTTCCTGTGTCCCATGACTCTCCCTCCTATCTGTGCATGCTCGTATACGTAAGTATCCCTCTCGCTCTCTCTCTCTCTCTCTCTTTCTCTCTCTCTCTCTCTTTCTGTCTTTGCCTGTGTCTGTGCCTGCGCTTGTGTATCTCTCTCTCTCTCTCTCTTTCTCTCTTTCTCCCTATCTCGCTCTGACTCTCCCGTCCCTCTCCTCCAGCCTGAAGAAGAACACGAGGGAGCCCTCGAGCAGGACCCAGGCCTCCAGGCACCCCCTCAGCAGGCGGCGGCCCCTCGGCCCCCACGGCTCGCCCAGCCCGACCGCGCCCTTTTTGTCCACCCCTTCCGTTCACACGAGTCCCTTCCATCCCCCCCTCCCTCCGACTGCCGCTCCCCACACCTACACGCCGGTCGTTGAACGTAGGGATGGATTCCCAGATCCCAGTCTTCTTTAGCCGCCTTCCTACTTCAAGAGTCGAGCGGTTTCCCTCTTCCCTCCTCTTCAGGGGGCGGGCGCAGACCCAATCAATTTGCAGCGCCTTCCTATTTCATGTTTCTACCCGCTTCTTCCGGCTGACGGGCACCCCTCCGCTCTCATCGCTCCCTCCTTTCCTGATCACCGCCCTCCCTCCCTCTCCTCCCTCCACCCCGCTGCTTCGTCGGCCGCCTACGCGTCCTCGTTGACTCTTCCTCGTCCTCTAGTCTAACCCCCCTCCATTCCCCTTTGAAAACCGTTGGACTCAGACGATCTGTGAGAACGTTCAGCAATGTGTGAGAGCCGCACAGAAACTTGTGAGAACCACCGGCAACATCAGAAATGTGGGACACGTGAACCGATGCGTGGAAGCCACCGAGAGAAGGAGGAGGATGATTAGGATTAGGATCCGGATTAGGATTAGAAGGAGGAGGTACCTCCAGACGATTTGGACACAGGTAGTATGGAAAGTTATTATTGCATCAACGCCATACTTGCTCTGCTCTTAGTGATGCTCTTGTTCTGGCTCACGCGATGATTCCGCAACGGCGAGGAGAGGGGTAAGGACGGAGATGTGGGTGTGGTTGTGGAGGAAAAGGAGGAGAACAATGGGGGGGAGGAGATGGAGAAGTGAGGCAGGACGATCAGGATGAGCAGGAAGAGCAGGGGGAGGGTTTCAGGGAGAGGCGGTGTGGGAGGCGAAGGAGCTAACGAAGGATGAGTAGGAGGGTCGGTAGATCGAGGAGAGCAGGGGGACGAGGGACGAGGGGGAGGAGGAGGTGGAGGAGGAGGAGGAGGAGGTCAGGGAGAGGACGCGAGGGGAGGAAGGGCCTGAGGGGGGGGGAAGGCCGAGGACGAGGACGTGGTGGAGGACGTCAGGGGAAAGATGAGTTGCATGAATAGAAGGAGCAGGAGCAGGAGGAGGGGGCGAGCTGGAGAAGAAGATGGTGATAATACATCGGAAGGGGGAGGAGGAAGAGGAGGAGGAGGAGGAGATAAGGGAAGGTGGGGAGGAGGCTGCAGCACGAGGGCGAGGACAAGGGCGAGAAGTTGTGGAGGATAAGGAGGATGAGGATTATCCACATGAGGAGGAGTGGTATGTGGAGTTGGACACTGGATGGCGAGGACGGGGAATGCCAAGGAGTCAAGATTCAAGCTCAGCTCACGGCAGCACTGCTAGTCGCTGCACGCGCATGCTAGGCCTGTGATGGGGACTATGAGGAGGAGGGAGAGTGGAGGAGGCGACCCTTCCCCGCACCTCCATCCTCCTCCCTCATCTGCCTCCTCCGTTCCCCCTCCTGAGGAGGAGAAGGCCCAGTCGTGCGCTCGTCCAGCGCACGAGGGCGCCGCCACCGGGCCGACCCGAGGCCCAAGCCGCGGCCGAAGCGGTCCTGGCGGTGATGCCCGACGCGGAGGTGGACCACGTGGCGGGGACGGGGGCGGGGCTCGGAGCAGGCCTGGTGCTCTGCACGGGGCTGCGATGTGCGATGGCCAGGGCCCCGCCGTCTCTGCGGCTGGCCGCTGTCTCTCCTCTTCTCCGACGTCTCGCTTTTCGTCGAACGAGCGGGCGGCCGTTCGGCGCGTTGCTGCGCGCCCTCGCGAGCGTGTCCGCCGAATTAGAGGGCGGAGGGCCGTTGGGGCGTTCGCGCGCCGGCACAGGGGCGCCAGGGTCGTGTGCGGCCCTGATGGCGGGTGCACCCTGATCCTTCATCTTCCAGGGGCGAGGTTTCGAGATGTTGCGTGCAGCCTTGGTTCAGCCCAGTTTGCCCAGCACGTTCTTGTTGATGTGTTGTTTTTTTGTTCTCTCTCTCTGTTTATTGTTTGTTTCTCTCTCTCTCTCTCTCTCTGGTTCTCTGTCTAGACTCTAGTTATGTATCTTGATTGGTCGTTCATATTATTAGATGTGTTTTTCTACACGCCCATCGTCATACATCTATATTCATACACATACAGTTATACATACACACGCATATATATATATATATATATGTAGTCAGTTTCCATACGATTGGTTTGTATGTACGTATGTATACCAATATCCAGTCCAGACGGCGCTCACGGGGTGTTGTCCCAGCACCCGCAGCTGGCTGCACTGGCGGACCAGGCGCACTGGCCGTTGCCGCGCCCAGCCCTGCCGGCCCCTACCGCGGGCCCACCCCGGGCGCGCTTGGGCGGATGGCGGCTGGTTGCGCCCCACTGATCCCCTCCTCGCCAGAGCAGGGTGGGGGTCCGAGCCGGGAATTCATACATGACCACCGCCTGGAGGATCAATTTTGAGGGACGTCGGCGGGCGATATAGACATATTCGGACCCCAGGGGCCAAAATACGTAGCACCCCGCAATTGCGGACAAGAGTGAGGGGGCGGGCGCGGGCGACGCGGGCGTCGAGCTGTCGGACTTCGTGGCCCTCACGAACGCAAAAGAAGCCTGGAACGAATGCAAAAGAAGCCCGCCGCATGCGCGCCGAACAACTTTTGGGTGGGTCGCGGGGTGGGTCGCGGGTGGGTCGCTGGTGGGTCGCGGTGGGTCGCGGGTGGGTCGCGGGTGGGTCGCGGGTGGGTCGCAGGTTGGGTCGCGGGTGGGTCTCGGGGTGGGTCGCCGGTAGGTCGCGGGTGGGTCGCCGATGCAAAAGACACCCGCCGCAGGCGCCGAAGCTTTGGCTTGTTCAGTGAACGTAGTTTGGGTCGCGGGTGGGTCGCGGGCTCTCCACCTCCACCGGAAAGGAATTCCATAAGAGCCCACCGCAGGCGCTGAAAATTTTGGGTGGGTCGCGGGGTAGGTCGCGGTCGCGGTGGGTCGCGGGTGGGTCGCGGTGGGTCGCGGGTGGGTCGCGGGTGGGTCGCGGGTGGGTCGCGGGGTGGGTCGCGGGTGGGTCGCGGGTGGGTCGCGGTGGGTCGCGGGTGGGTCGCCGGGGGGGTCTCCGGGTGGGTCGCGGGCGGGTCGCGGGATGGGTCGCGGGTGGGTCGCGGGTGGGTCGTGGGTGGGTCGCGGGGTGTGTCGTGGGGTGGGTCGCGGGTGGGTCGCGGGCGGGTCGCGGGTGGGTCGCGGGGTGGGTCGCGGGTGGGTCGCGGGGCGGGTCGCGGGTGGGACGACGACAACAATAAACAACAAACAACAAACAACAAACAACAAGCAACGAACAACAAACAACAAACAACACACAACAACCAACAACAACAGCAACAACAAGAATCCGCATCGCGGAATTCCACTTCAGCCACGCACCCAGAAACAGTGAATGACCGTTCGGTTCAGCCCCCTCACTCTGATGTCCATATCCACCGCCCGCTGGGGCACCAGGACGTCGCTTCCTCGGCGGTGGATATGGATAAACCCTTGCCTCGCAGGGGGATGGTGCTGGACCAAGGCGCTGGCCGCCAGGAGCACCGCGGGTCTGTTGATGGCGCGCGCCAGCGGTGCATGCCGTCTGCCTGGCAGGCGGGGCCGTCCAGATAGTGACCGACTTCCCCTTCGTCAGCAATGGCGTCGCTGCGATCAGGAACGGGCGAGCCCCGAGGACTGGGCCCACGCGGACCTGTGGGAGTTGATCGTCCCTCACTGCCGCAGCGGCGCGCTGGCCGCACGGTGGATCAAGGGGCATCTCGACGCCGCGGAGGCCCAGGAGCGCGGCGTGTCACCCGAGGACCGCTCCGGCAACGCCGCGGCTGACTTCCTCGCGGAGACGGCGGCCGAGGTTCGGCTGCCCCCGCTCGCGCTGCGACAGGAGCGCGAGCGGCAGCTGGACGCCCTCATGGCCGTGCAGCTCGAGCTCGCCATGGTGGAGCTCGCGGCCCTCATGGAAAACCACGGACACGGCCCCGAAGGCCCGCGCGTGCGGCGGCGTTGGACGCAGGCAGGACGTCGCCGCCGCCGCGCGCCCCGCGTGGATGATAACGCTGCGGTAGCGGCGGCGGCGGCGGCGGCCGCGCAAGTGGGGCAGGGGCTGGCGCGCGCCGCGCGAGGCCCAGGTGCGGCCGCCGCGGCAAGGGCCTTGTTCGCCGGCAGCGCGTGGCAAGGACACGTCGCCTCCCAAGGCCCCGCCTGGGTGGCTTCCATGGCGTGCGGGTGCTGGCCCCGCAGTGGGAGCGCCTCGCGTGCCGCCCTGCAGCGGGTGGGCATCGTACCTGCCCGCGCGGGCGGCCAATCTGCTGCTCTTGGACGCCCCGCTCGCCGGGGGCCTCGAGGCGGCGTGGCGGGCGGCTGTGCGGCGGCGCTTGCTGGAGCGCCTGGGCGCGCCCGACTACTTATTAGTTGGTGCGAATTAGTCACGCGACGGCTGCTGAGCAGCCGCTGTCCCGCGCGCCTGCCGGTCACGTTGTTTTGTCTTGCGTGGTCCTCCTTTCTGGCCCCCTCCTCCTCTTGTTCCTCCGCGGTCTGTTTGTTACCCGTTCTTGCCGCTGGGCTCCCTCTGGATGGTCTAAAACAGTATCTGTTGATACCCCTCCTTTCTGAACTTAAGCACTACGCATGTAGTCATAATTACGCAGATCATGTATGTATGCCCGTCTGTATGCTTGTGCGTATGGATGTATGCATGTATATGTATGTATGTTTGTCTATATGTATGTCGGTATGTATGTATGTATGTATGTATGTATGTATGTATGTGTGTATATGTATATGTACATATGTATATGTATATGTATATGTCTATGCCTATATATATATGTATATGTATAGGTATAGGTATATGTATATGTATATGTATAGGTATATATATAGGTATATGTATATGTACATGTATATGTATATGTATATGCATATGCATATGCACATGCACATGCATATGCATCTGCATATGCATATGCATATGCATATACATATGCATATGTATGCATGTATGTATGTATGTATGTATGTATGGATGGATGTATGTATGTATGTATGTGTGTATGTGTGTATGTGTGTATGTGTGTATGTATGTATGTGTATGCATGTCGGTATGTATGTATGTGTGTATGCGTGTATGTGTGTGTGTCTGTGTCTACGTGTACGTGCATCTATACATATATATATATATATATGTATGTATGTATGTATGTATGTATGTATGTATGTATGTATGTATGTATGTATGTATGTATGTATGTATATATCGCCGAAAAGGCCACATGTATCCGCATCTCTCTCTCCCTCTCTACTCCCTGCCCTCCCGTCCACTGTATACCCGCCCTCCCTCTGGCCTCCCTTCTCTCACCCATCTCTCCCTATCCCTCCCTCCCTACCGCCCCCCCCCGTCCTGTCCCTCCGCACCGGCCCCCCTTCCCCTCCCCTCCTATCGGGGTGGAGGAGCTGGAGATTCCAATGCCCGGCCACCCGCACCAGTCCGCGGAGGCCCTGGAGAAGTCGGCGGGCGCCTTTTTCCGGATATCCGAATCGGACGGCGGCTACCCGCGGTCGCCCCCGCAGGGCCAGTCGGGGGGAGCAGTGGCGGCACCAGCGACGCGTCCGAGCGCTTCCAGGTGAAGCGCACGGTTCTGCCGGACGCGCACGGGGCTGAAGCCAGCGGAGCGAGGCCGAGTGTCACAGGAGGAGGAGGAAGTATCGATCTTGCTGCCCTTGCCCCGTTCTTGCCCTGTTGGGCCTCCTGAGAGGCCCTCGTCGCCACGCGCCACGGTTGGATTCGCTTCGAAATTCTAGTAAGAAAGCACCCTGGGAGAGGTCCAGGGAGTAGCGGTATTGGTTGCTTTTTGTTCCCCCCAGGGTGAGGTCCAAGGTTGCGTCCAAAGAGTGTCTACGACCAGTTCGAAACATTGACGCGCAACGGCCCGGCCGTGCAAGCCCAGTCGGATTGTGGCCTGTCCCCTGCACGAGACGGCCACTGTGCCCAGCTGAGAGGTCGCTGTTCCCTTCAACCTTCCACCACCTCCCAGCCTTCTTAGTATCGTGTCGCCACGCTCCTCCCTACTGAATGTTGCGCAAAGTGGTTTTGCTCACCCGTTATGTGTACGTGCCTGTTCCACGCCTCTTTCTTTTTTTCACTTGTCACCTGCACTCCTGCCCTGAAGCGAGCGTCCTCCTCGCAACCCAGATCAGGCAAAATTCTAGACGCTTCGCGTCACCCCAGCCCACCAGCCCATCCATCAACGACGCCCAGGCGAGTTGCCGTGATCAGGGATGTGGAGGAGCATGCAGTTTAATAAATGGCTGTGGAAGCCGTCATGCCCCAAGAGGGGGAGGATGGAGGAGGATCAGGAGAGGAGGATGGGGATGAGGTGGGAGAGGGGGCGAAGGGATGAGGCGGATGAGGAAGGAGAGGAGGATGAGGAGGAGGAGGAGAAGGAGGAGGAGGAGGGCGAGCAGAAAGGCCAGATACATCTTGGATGCTTGTCGGAGTCTCTTCGGATGTTTCCTGAGAGGCCGCTTGGGGCGAGGGGCCTCCTTGGCGGTCCCGGGGGCCTCTTGGAGCGTCTTGGGTACCTTGGGGGAGCATCTTGGGGACTCTTTGGGACCTTCTTCGGGCCTTGGAGGCCCTATTGGGGCCATATTGGAAGCTCGATAGAAGAATGTGAGGGTTTAAAATTAGAGTCCCCCCCTCTGCAGCTCCTAAGCTCGCCTCTAGGACCCCTCTGGGGACGCTCTTGGAGCGCTCTTGCGCGCTCTGGGGGCTGTTTTAGGACCCTCTTGGGCTCCTCTTGGGGCTCTCTTGGGCGTTCTTGGAGTTATCTTGAGGCCTCGGAGGACCATCGGAAGCGCAAAAGCGAGAAGGCGAAAGATTTTCCTAACCGAGTACCCCGGATCAGAAAGCATCCCCCACGATACTTGAGAGCTGAGTATCCCGGGCCAAGACAGAGTTGGTCGGCGGAAAGGGGCGGCGAGGCCGAACTTCATGATCGCCGGGGAAAGTACGAAACGAAGTTGCGATCTGAATATACATCCTTCATACGAAGACTACCACGACGACGACGAAGACGGCTATAACTACTACTGCTACTACTACTACTACTACTACTACTACTACTATTACTACTACTACTACTACTATTACTACTACGACTAGTACTAGTACTACTACTACTACTACTACTACTACTACTACTACTACCACTACTACTACCACTACTACTACTACTACTACTACTACTACTACTACTACTACTACTACTACTACTACTACTACGACTACCACTACTACTTCTACCACCACTACCACTACTACTACGACTACTACTACTACTACCACTACTACTGCTATTACTTCTTCTACTACTACTACGACTACTACTACTACTTCTGCTACTTCTACTACTACTACTACTACTACTACGACGGCTACGACTACTACCATCACTACGACTATTCTGCCGAATACTACTGATACTTTGACTCCTACGGTTACCATGATGACCATTGCTACTGCTGCTATCACTACTACTGCCATTACTACTACTACTACTACTACTACTACTACTACTACTACTACTACTACTACTACTACTACTACTACTAACACCTTTACCATTGTTCTTGTACTACTACGACAATTCCTGCTGCCAGACTGTCAGTCCATCTTATTTTTATCATTACTTATAACCCATTCTACCGTTACAACAATCACGATTATCTCTACTTACTATGCTCCTCCTGACACTACTGCGACGACTAGTACTACTGCTACTTCTACTACTACTACGACTGCCACTTCTACTGCTACGAGTACTCGTAGTACTACCACATCCACTACTACTACTGCTACTACTACTTCTGGTACAACTACAAGTATGAATATCACTGCGGCTACTATCACTCCTACTAGTACTAGTACTACTACTACTACTACTACTACCACTACTACTACTACTACGACTACTACTACTACTACTACTACTGCTACTACTACTACTACTAC